AGGATTGGGCTCAGGGATACTTTGGCCCGCTGGAAGAGCTGCCTGTACCGCAGCCGATTTCTTCCTGTTTTCGGGGCAGAATTTGTACCAGGCTAGGATGACCCGGTGGAGAAGGCAATGGCACCCCACTCCAGTACTCTTGCCTGGAAAATCCCAGGGACGGAGGAGCCTGGCGTGCTGCAGTCCATGGGGTCGCACAGAGTCGGACACGACTGAAGCGACTTAGCAGCAGCAGCAGCAGCAGCAGAATGACCCGAAGGGGAAGCCACAAGGTCAAGATTGGGTAGTGGCTGAGAGAGAACAAATGCCAAGCCCTGACTCCCGGCCGTGTGAACTCTTTGTTCACTAAACAGGCTCCCTGAGTCTAGGCAGGAGGTGGCAGTCGAGAGGGGCTTGGGGGTGGGGTCCAGAACCTCAACCATCCTTCTGAACGTGGTGTTCCCAGGGGTGACTCAGATTCTGTCCCTGCATTACAGAGCACCCAGTCAAGGGAGGAGACACATAGGGAACAACTGAGAACAGCCTGGAGCCACAGGATGCAATACAGTCACTTAAGCGCCCTGGGAAATCAGAGCAGCAAGAGGGAACCAGGGTGAACGGCTGTCCAAGAGATGACCTGAAACCTGCGTTCAGCTGTGCACCAAGGACCTGAAAGCGGCCAGGCCAAGGGGCCAGACCCACCAGATATGGAAACACACTGTTCCCTGGTGAAAACAATAATTCCACAAGGGCTGAGAGAAAGAATAAGCCGCCCAGCCCAAGGTAGTAATCTTACCTCGTAATAATCGTTGGATAAACGGGATGGGGTAGTGATTCCTCTGTAGTCATGCCTTCTGGGCATCGGCGGCAGAAATTCCTGTGAAGAAGTAAGGAAGGAATGCTTTCTGACTTATATGTTCTATGTTCTGCCTATCCACTCATTCATCCATCCACCCTGCCTTCTTGTAACAATAACATTTTAAACCCTGCCTAGAGGGATCGCTGCTGCTCTTCTGCTCTCCAAAATGCAATGCTCTATATATAATAAGGACACAAAATAATTTGAAGGAGAAAGCAGAACCACAAGGTTGAATAAACGAGTAAGATGGCAAGTCCAAGGCAATCATGGTTTCTCCCTCTGTTTTTCCAACTGAATTCACATCCAAGAGTCTTCTGGAATCTTCTCCTCCTTTTAACTCACCCCCACTCCTAAGGCCGGCTCAGGGCCTGGAGAGTTCACGCCCCAGCTTCTTCCAAACGCCTCTCTCCTCCTCCCGCCCGCCTGCCCTCGCCCCCAGGTCCCTTCCCACCCTTCAGGGACGCCCCCCGATACCCATCTGCAGTCTTCGTCCAGCCGGACACCCGCCGTTTGTCAGCAACACAAGCCCGAGCTCACGCCCCGAGCGCTCCGGCAACAGTGGCCGTCTGGGAGGACGCCCCAGCGCCGCCCGCCTCCGTACCCGGCGCATCCCAGCCGCCGGTCCTCCCGCCAAAGCCAGGCGCGTGCTCTCCGGTTTCCCTCGGAGCCTGTGCCCGCGCGGGACCCTCGCGTGTCCTGCCCCGCCTACGCCTGCTCACCCCGCAGAACCCCACCGGCCGCGCGCGCCCTTCTACCCGCGGCGAGCGCGGCTGCACGAACCCACCTCCTCTCCCGACCCTCTGAGCTCCAGGCAGGCGCGGGACTCCCTCCCGCCGCAAGACTGCTCCTCTCCTCTCCCGGGTGAGGAGCCGTCCTTCCCCAGCTGTCCCGGGACCCACCGGCGCGCTGCCGGCAAACACAACCCTTGTGAGGCGGTTAGGAAAAAGGAAGCGGCTGCAGGTACTTTCCCTTTAGTGATAAAGAAGGGTCTTTGTTCGTCAGCCTTCTTAGCGCAGTGGGTAGCGCGTCAGTCTCATAATCTGAAGGTCCTGAGTTCGAGCCTCAGAGAGGGCATGGCATTTTGCTGCCATTCACAGGAAATAATCTGCTTTCCAGGATAGTGTTTACAGAGGCCCTGCGGACCCAGCACGGAGTGCGGATCCCCACCGAGTAAATGCCTAGGTCCACAGAGAGCCCGTTCTACCACAAGCCACAGCCAGAGGGTCGATCATTGTCCCATCTTCCTGCGGGGAAATGGATACAGCACTGCTGAGTGATTAAATCCGTCTCGCAACATCTCTGAAAAATGTTTCCCAAACCACTTCTGACTTCCTTCCCCACTTCCTCCGTGTGCTCTCCAATGGCTCAGCGGTAAATAATCCGCCTGCAACGCGGGAGACGCGGGTCCAACCCCTGGTGGGGAAGATCCCTTGGAGAAGGAAATGGCACCCACTTCAGTATTCTTGCCTGGGGAATCTCACGAACAGAGGAGCCTAACTGGCCCCAGTCCATGGGGCTGCAAAAAGTTAGACACCACGTAGCAACTAAACACGACCACCTTCCTCTACTCGGATCAAGGCCGAGTCTCCACATTTTCTCTTCTGCCTCGGGAGGCTGTATCCTTTCTCCGGTCCAGACCCAGTTTTCAGTTTCTGGGAAGATCCGGGCTGTCAGTGCAAGTCTCCCACGTGGCCCCGGAAAGCAAGGTGACGCCTGGCATTGATGACCTAGGAATGGCCAAACTTTAACTATAGCTTTAGCTAAATCCTTCCATTCTTTTTAATTTAAAAAAAAAAAATCCTTCAATTTTTGATTATTCAGTTAACAATAGCTTCCAGTTTCTTTATGATTTAGCCTCCACTAATTATTAATTTCCAAAACAAAGAAATTTCTAGTTTCCTTTATATTGTTTATTTCTATCTTAACTGCATTATGGTCTTAGCATATATTCTGTAAGAATTAAATACTCTGAACTTTATGGCTCAGTATTCAGTCATGTCTTCTGTTTGTCATTATTACATAATTTTATTTAGATTAACATCAAATTAAACAATGTACTGAGTTAACAATAAATTATATTATAAATATAAATAACTTATTAATATTATTATATTCTATTATTCCAGTAGTTTTCCTCTATTAACTTGGAAGCTGTACCCTTCTTTAGTATTCTTTTAGTAATTAGCCTTGAAATTACACTACTCTTTGACTTACCGTGACTACTCTTAACTTGGACTTTACCTTCTTTCCACAAAAGAAGAAAAAGTACAGGTCTCTTATTTTATCTTTTCAAAGTCTTACTCTCCCAACTTACATGCCTTTTTTCAGTTTTCTTGGGCATACATCTAGGCGTTGAATTGCTGAGTCATATGATAACTCTACCTTTAGCATTTTAAAAAGCTACCAAACTCTTTTTCAAAGTGGCTGCAATGTGTTCTATTAATACAATCCCACCAGCAAGTTATGGGGGTTCCAGTTTCTCCATAGCCTCAGCAACATTTGTTATTGTCTGTCCCCTTTATTCTAGCCATCCTACTCATGCAACATTCCTTTGCACTGTGGGTTTGGTTTGTGTTTCTCTGATAACATTGAGCTTATTCCTGTGCTCATTGCCATCTGTATACCTTCTTTATAGTAACAGATATTCAGATCTTCTGCCCTTTTTGGGGATCGTTTTGTCTTTTGCTGTTGAGTTTTAAGAATTCTTCACACATTTTGGATATAAATCCCATACCAGAAACATCTTCACAAAGGTATTCACCCCTTCTGTGAGCTGTCTTCACTTTGTTAATGGTTTTTCTTGAAGCCAACTCTTTTTTGACAAACATTACCTTGAAGAAATAAACAATGCAGATAGAGTTGAATCTGCCCTTTTTATCCTTTTATGATCCAGTTTCTCTACTTTAGTTTCCAGAAATTACCACCTTGTGAATTTGATCTTTAGAATTCCCTACCTTCTAAAAATACTGTGTAAAAAACATATAGACACTTGGAGTCTAATTGTTACTCTAGCCCAGGACAGGACTACTGTTGGAGCCTACTCTCTGTATATTTTTCCATGGAAGCTAAATAAATATATTATTGAGAGGCACAATGGCCATAGCAGGAGTCAGCAAACTACAGCCAGCAGACCAAATGTGACCCACTGCTTATTTTTATAAACGAAGTTTTACTGGCACACAGTCACATTCACATATGGCAACTTTTGTGCTACAACAGAGCTGAGCAATTGCAACAAGGCCTAAAATATTTGCTATCTGGCCCTTTAAGTAAACGTTTGTTATTTCCAGGGTTATAGTGACACTTCAACATGTGTAACAATCTAAATACAAGTTTATTTCTCTCCCCTGAAATATTCCAAAGGTGGAAGCTTTTCTCCATATTTGATTTGGGGACACAGGATGATTTCATCTCATTGTTTTGCAATCCCCTTGGACCTTCACATCACTTGCCTGGAGCTGGTAGAAGGAGACAGAGAGCCTGGAGGAGACATCCCCCTACTCCTTTAGTCTTGGCCCAGAAAGGAGGCACATTCTTCACTCGTTATCTGTCAGCAAGAACCAGTACCAGACAGTATCTTGATGCAAAGGATGGTAGAGTTGGTCCCAGGCTTCGTGCCTCTTCCAGGTTAATTCTAAGCTACAAACTTTAGTAGGCTACTAGCTGTCTCAGCCATGCCAACTCCAAGCAGAGGCTGGAGGAAAGCAGGCCTATATGGCTTGATTCAGAGTTGGGTCTTTTTCAGTTTGGTGAAGGCCGCACAAAATATCACATCCACCAATATGAGAAGATGCCTTGAAACAGACAGGCAGCTTCCGACTGGCACCAAATGCCAGATTGAGAATCGAGACCTTGGATATGGTTAGGTCAGCTCCTGGAGTTTTAACCTGCGTCAAGAGTTGAGTTTTGTTGGTCTACCAGCATCCTGATACAAACTGAAAGTTTGTACATGGACATACATTGCTTCCTGAACTTTCTTAAGAGTCCAAGAATTCCCTGACACCCCCAAAAAAGAGTTATAAACAAAATTAAGTCTGGTCTAAAATTTCTTACCCACCCAGAAATTTGCTGAAAGGGGGTGTAAGCAATCCATCATGATGAGCTTGTTGTGTAAAACAACTGACCACACACCCAAGCCACTTTGGTTTTTGCTTTTCTCTTTTATTAATTACAAAATCCAGGAATCAGTGGTAGAAAAATAACAAAGGAAAAATCCCTAAGTTGTATAATAAAAACCTGGAGAGCAGGCTAGGCATGTGCTGGGCAAGAGGGGAATGGACAGATAACCAACCCATGAGGAGAAACAGGGAGGGTGGCAGGTGTCAGAGTGGCCCAGCACCCCAAGATCACCCTCCCAGCACACTGGCCTTCTTTGGGTCTTCACCAGTGGGACCTTCAATACAAGAGCTGGTAAACCGTGGCACTATTCTTGGAGCCCGTGACCAGATACCGATTGTCAGAAGATGTGTCACAACACAGGATGTGTGCGGACTCCTCTGCCTGGAGGGAAAGAGGGGCATGCAGGAACAACATGCGGGGTGCTTCAGGTTTCATACAAGGCTCTTTCCAAGGCTCCACGTAGACCCGAGGCTGGTCCAGAGGCCAGGCTAGGTTTGGAGCGCAAGGTGGAGCCCAGGAGTTCCCAGGACCTCGAGTCCTCATTCCCTTTGATGTACTCAACGGCCCTGGTTGCCATCTCAGAGGTACTTTCCAGAACTATCTCTGGGGTCTGGGGTTTGTGAGTTCCCAGTGCCTGGGTTTGCACACCCCTCCACCCAGTACCTGAAACAGTCTATGCAGAGAAGGTGCAGATATGCAGCGGATCGTCTCATTCATTGTGGCCACAAAATAGCTCCCTGGCAGAGAAAAGACAGATGGAGGGGCCAGAGACCACGCCTGCCTTCCAGCCCCAGCTCTGCTCCCGACAAGACCAGGGAAGGAACCACTTTCTCTGCCTCAGCTTCCCCCATCTATAAAACTCAGAGACATGACCCAAACCATTCCTTCATCAGCCTGCTCCCTCCTCCTGCCACACCCAGGATCCCAGGGAGAGTCCCTGAACAACAGGACAATTCCATGCGGCTCCGTTCCTCTTCTGTCTTTGGCTGGTGTCTTTGGGCTGGGGTTCCGTGTAGGAAGCTACCATTACAGACAGAGTCAGAAAAGCAGAGGGAACAAGCAGAGAAAGGAGGGAGGAAAGAGACTTCCCTGGTAGTCCAGTGGCTAAGAGTCTGCACTCCCAATGCAGGGGGCCCAGATTCAATCCCGGGTCAAGGAACTAAAGAGATCCCACATGCTGCAACTAAGAGCTTGCCTGGCACAACTAAGACCTGGTACAGCCAGATAGATAAGTGATAAGAAGAAGAAGAAGAAGAAAGAAGAAAACTTAGCCATGCCAGCAGGGGAAAAAAACTGGTGGTTCGAGGAAGCAGAGGCGAAGGCAATGGGAAGGTGGCCCGAGACCTCGGTCTGGCCAGTTCTGGGGCCAAAGACGGGGGAACTAAACAGTCTGAAAGGAGGCTGGGCCCAGACTCCACAGATGAGCAGACAGCTTGGCAGGCAACAGGGCACCCAGAGGTGTCCCCGGCCTGCTCACTCACCACAGGAGGCAAACTTGAGATTGTGATGGCAGACGTATTTCTGTAGGACAGCCTTAAACTTTTCCCTCCGGTGTGTGTGTACGATTACGATGTCACTCATTCTCAAGCCTACTAACAACCACTCCTCACTGGGGTCATGGGTGATGCTGAGGATCTGTCAGGGAGGAGGTTTGGGGTCAGCACTCAAAGAGGCCAGGCCCATCATTCATCGCACCCCACTTCTGCATGCACCCACAGCTCCCGGGCCCCTGGGACCGCACTCAGACCCGCGGTGGTCATGCGGGCACCTCATGCCGTAAATCATGTTGCTGCAGCCTCTGGTAGCTTCTCAGGTCCCAGGAATATAGTTTGGTGTCTTCACCTCCCGTCCAGAACTTATTGCCCGTGATATCCACACACTGGGATCCATATATGGGGACTTCATGCTTCCTGGTGGGAAAACAACTCAGAGGTTCATGCATTGGTTGAACCCTCAGAAGTCTGGGGCCCAGGAAGCCCCTAGATACACAGCCCATATGCGTCCTCCACACGGACTCACCTCGTCCTACTGCAGAGGAGGAGGTGAGGTAGGGCAAGCAGCCCAAGCTTCCCAAAAGCCTCACCGTTGCACCCCACCCCCTGGGGTCATACCTGATCAAGATTTGGTTCTGCAAATCCCAAATTTCAACAAATCCTTTGAAACAAGCCACGCAGATCTGGGCGTTGGAGGAGAGCGCCAGGGAATAGCACACGGGGCCAGTGGAGGCCAGCTGTGCCCTGACACGGGGGGTGGGCGCCAAGTCCCAAAGTGTCAGGGTCTGGGACAGACCCCCCGTGATCAGGCTCCGCTCATCGGGGAACAGCTTGCAGGTGAAGACACAGCTGTCACGGTCCTGTTGGAAGGGCCAACATTCTCAAATGGTCTCCAGGAGGCATGGGCTCTCAGTGTCAGGACAGAGATCATCCCAAGCTCCCCCAGCCTTCTGGAGGACCCCTTACCTGGAAGTTGAGCTGGGCCTGGGGCGCCCGGTCCCAGGCATGCAGGGCACTCTCATCCCACACTCTGATGTAGCCATGGCCACAGGTGTACACATGGTGAGTTGAGCCACTGACAGCCACTGCATAGACTTTCTTCCCATGGCGGAGTCGGCCGACCTTCCAGGACTTATGTGGGGCCCTCTGCCTAACCACCACGTCATCTGGAACGGGAGGCTGGGGTGGCCACAAAAGGGTCACAGCCTTGACCTGCTCTCATCGATGGGGGCCAGCCTGTCCTGTCCTCTAACTCAGCTCCTAAGCCTGCATCCACCAGCTGCTCTCTGATCCCCAAGCAGGACCATGGCCTCAACTGGGGTCCCCAGACCACTGACATCCTTCTGCACCAGCCCAGAGTGGCCTCCCTGACAAACAGGCCATATCTCAGACACTTCTGAGTTTAGCGATGACAGCAGAACCTGGCTCAGAGTCCCTCTGAGGATGTCACTCCAAATGCGACCCTGATAGCTGAGGCCCTACACACTGGTGACAGAAGGAGGGGAGCCCAGGGCCCAGAGAAGCAGGGACTCCATGCACCCACCACCTATGCGGGAGAGAGTGAGGGTGCAGACATACCACACACCCTTACCCTCTTCCTTCTAACTTCTTGTTGAGGCGGGAGAGGGGAATGGGAAGGGAAAGATACTAGGATTAAAACAAAAAAAGACACGTACAATTGCTCTGAGGAATGACAAGACTTCTTCACTGGGACCAGGCGAAGGACAAGGCTGACCTACAGGGAGAGACCAGCGGCCACCCGCTCAGAGAGGTAGGGTCTCGCAGCAACAACATCACAGAACCCAGGGAGAAGGCTGCTCTCACATCCCAGGGTACCCCCACTCTGAAGCCCAGCCACAGGCTGCACCCTTGTTGCTCACGATGTTGCTCACATCGTCCCAGCTAGGACTTACCAAACTCCGCTCCTGGTGGGGGGCTGTGACACAGGGAGGAGAGAGGGAGGAGACAGACGGGAAGTGAGAGGGGTGGAGCCTCCCTCTCCCGAGAAAGTTCACCACCCCAGGCCAGCCTTGTTCAAGGGAGGCTTACCTGAAACCGCACGCTGCATCTTCGGATTCTGCCTTGGAGATCCGAGTGGCTGGCAGCTCAGATCCATCTAGGGCCTGGGGGGCCCACTGCTGGGGACTCGCACAGGTCGTCTCTTGATAAGCTGGGCCATGCTGCCTTGGGGAGCCCAGGGGCTGCTCCAGGGGACCGCACACCTCGCCCAGCTGAGACCATGCACGGTGCTCCGGCTGGGAGGAAGCATCAGGGCTCTCTGGCACGTCCCTCCTCTTTTCAGGCTCATCATAAATCGAGAGCACACTGAACGAGGCCTCTCCCTTCTCTTCACTCATGGTTTTCAGTCAGTGAAGTGCCTGAGCCACCTGGTTCCAGGGCTTGAGGAATGAATGAGTTTGTCACACAGACCCTGGGTCCCCAATTTGTCCCGATCCCCTGCAGCAAAAGAGAGAAGAGATGCTGACATGTGGATGCGATCTTTGGGGTCTATTGAGAAGGCTGTGAGAACACTCCTCTGAGGGAGAGGATTCGCAATTGGCCACAGACTCACTTTTGATACTAAATGTTGGCAGCGATGGTGCCAAGGGTGAAATGTCACTTGGACATTTTGAGATGTTATAATAGTACCAGGTGTGTGTTTTGGTTTTCCTTCTAGACACACAGCCTGCACTTCCTATCCTCTAAAATCAAACTCACCCTTAAATTTGAAAATGCAGATCAGGTCAGTGGCATTAAGCACAGACACACTGTTGAGCAACGATTCTGCTTGCGTGCTCAGTAGAGTTCAACTCTTTGCGACCCCATGGACTGTACCCCACCAGGCTCCTCTGTCCATGGGATTCTCCAGGCAAGAATACTGGAGCAGGTTGCCATTTCCCACTCCACAGGATCTTCCTGACCCAGGGATCAAACCCGCATCTCTTGCGTCTCCTGCACTGGCAGGCAGATTCTTGACCACTGCATAGCATTTTCAAATGAGGCTTCATCCACCGGGTAAAAGAAACATGAAGCCACAGGAAACCATACACCCATCACAGGGTCTCTCTCCTCTAGAGGGGAGAGCATGGAAGAACTCAGCGGTCATGCAACAAGCCTTGGGCGAGGCTGCAGAAGGATGAAGAGGTTGGCTGGTGGGGATTTAATCTTTCCCATCCTAGGAGTTAATTCTGAGAACTGAATGCAAACAGGATTGTGGAATACTCAGAATTATACAAGGCCAGTGGCAAACACTCAATACATGGCAGATAGTGTGTTTATTTGAGAGCTATGCCAGGGACCAGAGCTTTGAGGATTGAAGGCAGACTGAATGCCTTCCTTCAGGCTGCTCAAAAGCCAACCCCAGAAGTCCCAGGCGAGACCCAGTGTTCCACTGACAGGACAGATCAGAAGCTGTAGGGACAAGATGACAGGCAGGGCTGAAGAGGGGATCTTCCAGTTGGAACCAATGCCTTGAAAACCAGGCTCGGTCCTCAGCTCTCAGATACAATGGGGTACCCAGGCTGCCTGCTCTTGGGAAGCTCCTCCGGACACTTGGCGGTCTCACTGTGCCTGTGGCCCTGAACCAAATACTTCACATAGCTGGTCCCATTTCATCCACACACCTGTGCAGGCCACATTTCACAGGTTTTAAACCCTGAGCTTCTGAGTGGGTAGGCAAACAGCTAGAAAGCACGGAGAAGAGGTTCAAATTCTGCCGTGTCTGGCTCTCAACCGTCTCCTTCCTTCCTTCCCATCAGAGGAAGGAGGGTACTCTCCACCACAGTCACGATGTAGTTACCCAACCCCCAGCAGTTCCACTTTCAGGAATTTATCCTCAAGTTGCCCTCAAATATAAGCTAAATAATCTATGTCTAAATAGAAGCATTATAGCATTACTTGTGATAAATGACTGGACAAATCCAAAGTCTGTAAGAAGGGAGTGGTAAAATAAGTCACAGTAATATGTGTGAAGTGGAATATGACACAACTGTGAAAAAGAACAAGGACGCTGATGTCTGGAAGTGGAAAATTCCAAGGGAAGTTAATGGGGAAGGAGTGGATTCAATGTGTATAATGCACAGCTTTGGTGTAAAAGAATGGAAGTTAGAACCTACCTTTGCATATGCTTGTATAGACTTAAGAAATTAGGAAGGGTGCTGCCCTAGGAATAGAAATTGGCAAGTAGGAAAAAGGAATGGCAGGAGGATGTCACTGCAAAACTTGGGATATATTTTGCATGCCTGTGGCTCTTTAGACCTAAATTAAAATTGCTGGACCATGAGCCTTTTTCCTCAACCAGGTCCATTCTTTGTCATTTTCTCCAACTGGCAATTTGAGGTTCTCATGATTCTTAATTGTTGTTATTATTAATTGCTAAGTTGTGTCCAACTCTAAGACCCCAAGGACTGTAGCCCGCCTGGCTCCTCTGTCCATGGGATTCTCCAGGCAACAATACTGGAGTGGGTTGTCATTTCCTTCTTCAGGGGATCTTCCCCACCCAGGGATCAAACCCAGGTCTCCTGCACTGGCAGGCAGATTTCCCACCACTGAGCCACCAGGGAAGCCCAATTCTTAATTACTTGTTTAAATAATTCAGCAAACTTGCCAAGACATGCAGCAGTCTCCTTTAATTGGGCCCCCAGGTCTGGCTTGGCCCTGAGGGTGGTGGAAGGGCAGAACACCTTCCCAGCCAGGGGGATGCGGATGTGCAGAGAGAGATGGGTAGGAACCCAGGCCCACATGCAGGTAACGCTTAAAGGCAGTGAAGCCATTTAGACAGGATTTCATGGATGAGAAGGATTACATCTTAAGAATAAGACAAGGCTTTCTAAAGTGTCCAAGGAAGAGTCAGCATCACCAATTCCCTTGTCTGCTCCACCCTCAGAACCGGGAATAAAAGCAACTCTCTTTCTCAAGCTTCAGCACAAAATGCTAGAGCAGAGATTCACCCCGCCAGCAAGACAAGCACTCACCAGTCCCTCACGGCACGCAACTCACCTCCGTAGGCAGGTCAGACGCTGGAGACAGGAGGTGAGAATTGCACACACCTGGTTAGTAATGGGAATAGCTTCCTCCAGCCTCGTCCACCCCTCCCTCCCTCAGGCACTGCCCCTTGTGCTGCAGGCTGCTAGTTTAGACTAACTGATAATTAAGCCCTGGGTCAGAACCTGGGTCAGGTGTAGGGCCCTGGATGGCTCATCAGTAACCGGGCGTGACCTCGGCCACCACCCACCACAGAGCTGGGCTGCCTTTACTGATAAGGCTGGGATAAGAGTCCTGGGATAAGACTGGGATCTGTCCAATAAATTCACAGCAGGAGGCCAGGTGCAGTGAGACATTTTTCAGGGGATGGGTTCGGGGTACCCCACGCGAGCCAGTGTTTTCACAAAGATGGAGAGTTGGGTGGAGCTACACCAGGAAGCAGTTTCACATTTTCATCTCGAGGTGAACCCCCTGGGCAAGGGGAGGCCAGCCCTGTCACCTCTCATCTCTCACCAGTCTCTCTCGGAAAGTGAGGATCAGGGAACTCTTCTCTGCGGAGGCCTCACCAGTGATTCTTACATTGGAGTGCTCAACACCTGGAGGGCTTGTTAAAACCCAGCACTGGGCCCACCCCAGGAGATTCTGATTCTGTGTCCCTGGGGTGGGGTCTGGCTCGAGATGAGTGATCACACCATCACGATTATCTGGGCCATGAAGATCTTTTCTGTATAGTTCTTTTGTGTATTCTTGACATCTCTTCTTAATATCTTCTGCTTCTGTTAGGTCCATACCATTTCTGTCCTTTATTGTTCCCATCTTTGCTTGAAATGTTCCCTTGGTATCTCTTATTTTCTTGAAGAGATCTCTAGTCTTTCCCATTCTATTGTTTTCATCTATTTCTTAGCATTGATTGCTGAGGAAGGCTTTCTTATCTCGCCTTGCTATTCTTTGGAACTCTGCATTCAAATGGGTTTATCTTTCCTTTTGTCCTTTGTCTTGAGCTTCTCTTCACATCCTAAAAGAAATTCATCCTAAAGGAAATCAGTCCTGAATATTCACTGGAAGGACTGATGCTGAAGCTGAAACTCCAATTCTTTGGCCACATGATGCAAAGAATCAACTCTTTTAAAAAAAGACCCTGATACTGGGAAAGATTGAAGGTGGGAGGAGAAGGGGATGACAGAGGATGAGATAGTTGGATGGCATCACTGACTCAATGGACATGAGTTTGAGTAAGTTCCAGGAGTTGGTAATGGACAGGGAAGCCTGGTGTGCTGCAGTCCATGGAGTCACAAAGAGTTGGACACAACTGAGTGACTGAACTGAACTGAACTGGTGTGGGGTCTGAGACTTGATATTTCTAGCAACTTCCCCGGTGAGGGTGACCCTGCTGCTGGAGGTCTGGGGACTCCACTGGAGAGGCACCGCCTAAATCCCTCTGTTTGGTGGTCCTTTTCTGGCAGGAGGGGAAGGGGTAACGAGGCCATACCTCTTCTGCTCTGCTCCCCCTGTTCACCTCCAGTCATGGCCCACCCCTCCCACTGAACACATTCTCTTCTGTTCTGCTTTTTCTCACTTGTTGCCTTCCTTCTGTTGAAGTGTAAGTCCTGAATTGCTGCTGCTTACAAAGAAATCTTTTACCACTCCTGACCTCCAATATCCAAAGCTCTCTGTCTCTCCCTTTCTCTCTCCCCATTCATGAACACAGCCCTGATCTCCAAAACTGTTACTGCTGCCTATAGTCTTCCAGATAATGCCTGTATTTAAGGTCTATCCCTAGGTGACATCCCTGGTGGTCCAGGGCTAAGACTTGATGCTCCCAGCTCCCAAAGCATGGGGCCCGGATTTGATCCCTGGTCAGGGAACTAGATCCCACATGCAGTAGCTAAATGATCCCACATGCTGCAACTAAGTCCGGGTACAGCCAAGTAACTAAATATTTTTTTAAAAAAAGAGAGAGAGAGAGAGAGTTGTCCCTGTCAAGGCTCCATGTTTCTACCCTCATGCTGTTTGTTCTCTCATCTAGGACCTCTGTTTTGAAAAAAAAAAAAAATTATGAAAAATTTAAAAAAGACCACGTCTGTCACTTTCAGACAGCCTGCCAGCCTGAGAGAGGCCAGTGAGAGGACCCCAGTGGTCAGCGAGGCAGCCCCTGGAGAAGAGGGTTCATAGAAGGGGCCTAGGGTCTGGATCATAATCCAGAGCACTGCTGGGCACTAGACGTTCATTTTCTGCATCATCATCATAGTCCACTCTCGGAGCCGACCCAGGAGGGAGGTTTACAGTGAAGGGAGCTAAAGCTTTGAGAGTTTGAATAACTTGCTCAAGATCACACAGCAAGGAAGGGCTAGAGTCAAGAGTTTGAGACCAGGTTTGCACAAGCCCACACAGCCTTCTACTGGAGTGCAGGGAGACGGAGGACAAAAAGGGAACAGGGGGCCACGTGGCTGCAGCAGCCTGGAGGGGTGCTTTCTGGGCACTCTCAGGACAGACATGGGAATGCTAAGAGTTGAACTGTCAACTATTGATAATAATGGAAGTGGGGACTTGCCTGGTGGTAAAGAACCCACCTTCCAAGGCAGGGGATGTGGGTTTGATCCTTGTTGGTGAACTAAAATCCCACAGGGCAACTAAGCCCACACACGCATCACAACTACTAAAGCCCATGCACCCTCGAGCCTGTGCTCTGCAACAAGAGAAGCCGCCACAGTGAGAAGCCCGCCCACCACAACTAAGAGTAGACCCTGCTCACCACAACCAGAGAAAGCCTGTGCGCAGCAAGGAATGGCCTGGGCACTGCAACAAAGACCCAGAGCAGCCAAAACCACAAACTTAAACACAGAATTACTATATGACCAAGCAATTCCACTCCTAGGTATATACCTAAAAGAATTGAAAACAGAGGCTCAAACAGATTTTTGTATACCAGTGTTCACAGCAGCATTATTCGCAATAGCTAACAGGTGCAAACAAACAACCCAAGAGTCCATTAACAAGCAGATAGATAGGCAAGATATGGTATATCCATACACTAGAATATTAGTCACCAGTAAATAGGAAGGACACATACATGCTACAGCTTAGATGAACTGTGAAAACATTACACTAAGTAAAAAAACAGACACTATAGCTCCATATTGTATGAGGCCATTTACATGAAATACCCAGAGTGAAAGTGAAAGTGTTCTTTGCTCAGTCATGTCCAACTCCTTGTGATCCCATGAATCACAGCCCACCAGGCTCCTCTGTCCATGGAATTCTCTAGGCAAGAATACTGGAGTGGGTTGCCATTCCCTTCTCCAGGGGATCTTTCTGATCCAGGGATCAAACCAGGGTCTACTGCATTTCAGGCAGATTCTTTACCATCTGAGCCACAACAGAGATCAGAGACCATTTACATGAAATACCCAGAATAGTCAAATCTATATAAAGAGAAAGCAGATTAGTGGTTTCTAGGGATTGGAAGGTGGGGGTGGGGGTATAGGGATCAACTGCTTAACAGTCATGGGGTTCTCTCTGGGGTGATGAAAAGGTCTGAAACTAGATAGTAGTGATCAGTGCACTGTGAAAGTACGAATGCCACTTAAAAATAGTTAAAACGGTAAAGTTTATGTTACGTGTATTTTACCACAATTAGAAAACCAATGAAAACAGACTTTGTGCCAATGAGTTAGAGGCCGTGCAAGTCCCAGTAGCATTTTCCCCTTCTTCCTCTTCATCCACCAAACCCCAAACAGCTTAGCTGGTAGTTTTCTCACCTTTGCTTCCGTAAAAGAAGAACCAGCAAGATGCAGGTAGGTACCCCTCCCTGCAGTGGTCATGTATGGATGTGAGAGTTGGACTGTAAAGAAAGTTGAGCACCAAAAAATTGATGCTTTTGAACTACGGTGTTGGAGAAGACTCTTGAGAGTCCCTTGGACTGCAAGGAGATCCAACCAGTCCATCCTAAAGGAAGGACTGATGCTGAAACTGAAACTCCAGTACTTTGGCCACCTCATGCGAAGAGTTGATTCATTGGAAAAGACCCTGATGCTGGGAGGGATTGGGGGCAGGAGGAGAAGGGGACGACAGAGGATGAGATGGCTGGATGGCATCACCAACTCGATAGGCATGAGTTTGAGTAAACTCCGGGAGTTGGTGATGGACAGGGAGGCCTGGTGTGCTGTGATTCATGGGGTCGCAAAGAGTCGGACACGACTGAGTGACTGAACTGAACTGAACTGAATCCCTCCCTGCCCAGAGACCCTGGCCAGCTACAGTCTAATGGGCAAGGGTTTGTTTGCCCTCTGGTGGGCAATCAGAGAGCAACCCAATTCTAACCACCTAAGATATCTGTGCTCACATCCCAAAGCACTTGATGGTTGTACTCAGGGTGCCACTCCCCCCACCCTGGAATTTCTCTTTCTGCAGGAGAGCCTCCAGAGAACTGACAAGGGCCCCTGCTGTGGATGAAAATGTATAAACCATATAAACACAGGCACAAAACACTTCTTCCCTTACGAATTCGTTGACATCATCCACTCAACAGAAATTATTCACAGGCAAGTTCCACCCAGCCTGTGAATGTTGGAGGTGGTGTTGAAACTGTGATGTTGGAGAAGACTCTTGAGAGTCCCTTGGACTGCAAGGAGATCCAGCCGGTCATCCTAAAGGAAATCAGTCCTGAATATCATTGGAAGGACTGATACTGAAGCTGAAACTCCAATACTTTGGCCACATGATGTGAAGAACTGATTCATTGGAAAAGACCCTGATGCTGGGAAAGACTGAAGGCAGAAGGAGAAGGGGACGACAGAGGATGAGATGGTTGGATGGCATCACCAACTCAATGGATATGAGTTTGAGTAAGTTCCAGGAGGTGGTGATGGAAAGGGAAGCCTGGTGTGCTGCAGTCCATGGGGGTCACAAAGAGTCAGACATGACTGGGCGACTAAACTGAACTGAAGTTCCGGCCTCACCCAATGAGTTACCCACAAGGAGCTTGTGGTCCACAAGGCGAGTCAGTAAACCAGGAGCTCCAAGTAGAGAAGGCAGAAAATGATATCAATTAGACGGAGGTGAGATGAGGACCCAGAACAGGGGACACACTGCTAACCAACCAAGGAGATAAGGGAAGCCAGCAAAGGGGAGGTGGCCTTTGGCTGAGGTGTGTGAAGGGGAAGGGGAAGAGTTCTCCAGGTAAGGGACACTCCTCATAGTTCCCTGGGTCCCTGCACTTCCTCTCTTTCCCTCACTTCCTGTCGTGAGGAGCCTCCAACTCACCACTCCTTACTTTGAGCCCTTCCCACAAGAGCACGGTGGTGGGTCCCACCTCCCCCATCTTGTAGGTTCTTCCTACCCATCTCACCCCCACAGCCTGACTACTGAAAGCTTGTGTTCTCAGTTCTGCATTTCACTTTTCCTGATGGAATGACCTCTTACCTCCCAAGGGACATTTAAGCAAAGCCCCTGCCCCTCATTCCCGGGGCCTGGGACTGCCCCCTCCCCAAAGTCCTACAGCAGTTCCATTTAAGTACATTCACCTGGTGGCTCAGATAGTAAAGGACCCACCTCGTGGGTCCCTTGGGAGGTAAGAGATCATTCCATCAGGAAAAGTGAAACGCAGGGTTGAATCCCAGCGTCGGGAAGTTCCCCTGGAGGATAGCACGGCAACCCACTCCAGTATTCTTGCCTGGCGCATATCCCCAAGGACGGAGCAGTCTGGCGGGCTACAGTCCGTGGGATGGCAGAGTCAGACACGACTGAGCGGCCAAGCACAGCCCGCAGTCCTACGGCAGTCCTCTATTGTGTTCACCACATAGGCCTCAAGTCAGATTTCACGCGGTGGTAGAGCTGAGGGTGGGGGTGGGAATAAGCTGTGCTTCTCTTAAGAAAAGTTTGCAACGCCTTCTGTGCGTCCCGCTGACTGCAGGACACGGGGTCCTGAACGCACAAAGTCCAACTCCGAGCCTTCACACACCCCAGCATCCCCCCACCCCCACTCCTACCCCCGCGCCCTGGTCCCTAAGATCGTGTCCTCCCCCACCCCCACTCCGCGGATCAACAGGAGACTTACCGTCAAAGGCTCAGACCGGCTGCCCCAGGACTCCGCCCGGGAGACTCCTCAGGACCAGAGCCGGGAGAGCCGGCCCGCACCAAGGGAACCCGGGCAACCTCGCGCTCCTAGTTCGTTTCTTCCCGCCCTGCAGTGAGCGGACCGGCCGCCGGGGGCAGCAGGGGCCAAGCTGGCGGTCTGTGCGCCTTAATGGCTGGCTCCTCGTGCCCACAGCGCCGGCCTCCGAGCCCTGGATGCGCAGGCCCGTCCTCTCCGCTCTGTCTCACTTCGAGGCCAAAACAGGGTCCCAGGGCGACAAGGCGCGCGCCCAAGGGCGACAGGAAGGGAGGCAACCACTGGAGGCGGCCACCGGCTGCCAGCGCCGCACGTCTATGGCCCAGGACGGATGGGACCCAGAGCCCCAGGCCCCCACCTGCAGCAGGTGGGCCCCGGAGCCCCGGCCAGCACGGCCGACAGATGCGTCAAACCCTGGGCAGGAGGACCCCTTACCTTGGCGAGCCGAGGAGAGGGGCGAGAAGGTGCGTTCGGCCGCGCCGCTGGGAGGGCTTCCTGGAGGCTGGGCTTCGGCTGAGTGTGGGTGGGATTTCAGTGGCCGGGAGGAGGGGGGGGCACGCTTCAGGGGCACTGGAAACACTTGAGCACCGACCTGCGCAGGGCAGGGGCTGGTGAGCGGGGAGAAGAGGGTGGGAAACCAGAGCCGGAGTGGGACTCAGGCCCGGGAAGCCCAGGAGCAGGCGGAGAACGCCGGTCCCCCGCACAGCGGGCTCAGACCCCGGGCGGAAGCCCCAGGAACCCTGCGAGGTGTGGGATTTGCTGAGACCACGTGGTCTGTGGTGCGAATGGGGCCCGAGAGAAGGCGGAAGGGGCTGCAGGGAGGTCGCGGAGGAGAAGACCAAAGTTCGCTCCTCTCGGAGTCCCCGGGCACTTCGGTAACCCCGGCCTGTGGATGGGCCCGCAAATGTTCAGTTGAACTGAGTGGACTGTGTAAGGGAAGGGGTGTCCTCAGTTCCTTGTAAGGAGAAAGAACAGCAGAGCGGGGCTATGGTCTGTGAGGAACAGGGATGTCAGAGGAACATCTTACGGGCCTCTTCTCAGAACCCCCAGCCCCACCACAAGGAGAGGGCTGCCACACAGGGGGAGCTGTGCTATCTCTTTCCCCCACCCCCACCCCCACCCTGACCAGATGTCACAGAAGCCCTGCCTCCACCCATTGCACACACCCTCCCTCCCTGATTGGGCCTCTGCTCGCCAAGCTTCCCAGACCTGCTGGATGCCCTGCAGCAGCCATGCTTTCCTCTGAGCCTGTTTTCCCTCCTGATCTGGACAGGGCAGGATCAGGTATTTTCTGAGGTCCCTTCCAGGGTGACAGGCCTTGGCAGAAGGGTGCCCTGTGCTGCAGAGATGGAACATGCTTACCTGGACTGAAGAGAGACACTTGATTTAATCCTGACCCTTCCAGGCTCATGGCTCCTGTTGAGAAAGAAGTGCTTTTGCGAGGTCTCCAGTGCCATGGCTCTTCCTAGTCTCTGGAAGGCCCACACTGTACCCAGGCAGCTCTTCACTGGAGTAGTGAACGTGGAGGCTACAAGGTGTCAGGACTTCTGGGCCATAGGGCCCACATCACTTCATGAGACTTTGCAGTTACCTGCTTTATTCACCCTCGTATCCTTGGGATCTGAGCAGAGGACCTACCATGGATAGTAACAAAGCTACAGAGAGGGATAAAACTCTCGAGCCGTTTGGGTGAGATGGGCCTTACGCCCTACGTCCAGCCCCAACCCTGCAGATCAATAGCCTTAAGACCCAGAGCCCAAGTTCACACAGGATTTTGGGGCAGATCCAGAAGATAGGTTCTGTCCTCAGTGATTCTTAGCCCTCCTAGAGTCCCTGCCTTGGTCCTGCCACAGCAGAGATGGTGCTAAGTCTCCACCTGGAGCCAGGACTGCAGGACTTCCTGTCCCCATCTCTCCTGTCACATCCAGAAACCAGCTGGAGAATATTCGTGACCTAGGAGGGGTGGGGTGAGCATGGCCTTCTACCCTCTTCTCTGGCCTGGGTAATGGACACATCAGCCACTGATTTGCTGTGTGACCAGGGGCAGTGCCATCTGTCTCTGGTGTTCAGTGTTTCTGTAAGTAAATGAAGAACATGGATCCATGGCCTGAGGCACTTCTGGGTCTGTGTGGTCTAGAACTGCCCAAAGGAGTAGGCCAAGATGGTTGGGTGAAGGACTATGCTCTTCTGTGTTCGGGGGCCGCCAGGGTCTGCCTCCACCCATGTGCAGCTTCCAGAAGCTGGAGTTGGGGGCGGGGAGAGGTCACTTACACAGTGGTCCTGGACATTCTGCTGAGGTGCTACACCATGTCATTAGCTTTCTGCCAGGAGTGGTTCCTCTGAGGTACATAAGACAGTACTCCCAGCCAACACTGGTCTTCCAAGCTACAGAGAGTGCAGGAGTAGGTGTGGGGAAAGGGGGTGCTGTGGGGTATACTGTGTGTCTATGAGAGTCTTGTGTTCATCTTGATGTGGGAGAGAGGTTTGAGGGCTTACTATGTGTGACTGTATGCTTTTAATTTTTACTCCTTAGAGTACTCCTGAGACTGAACATCTTCATTAGTCACTTTTGTATCTTTTAAAAAAGCTGTTTGCTATTGTTGTTTGCTGGGTTTTAGAATTTCTCTTAACTGCAAGATCTCTTTGTATATTATGTACTACATGTTAATATCACAAATTTTACAAAGGTATTTCCACTTTTTGTGCTTTTTCTTTTACTTGGAGTTATTTAAAACAAAAGCAAAGATTCAATTTTGAAAAGCCAATTTATCAATATTTTCCCTCATGGTTGGTTTCTAGCTTTCATCTGATGCTTAGAAAGGTTTCCTCCATTCCATGAAAATAAAAAGATTTACTCATTATTTTTCCCTTAAGGAAAGTTTTATTGTTACACCTCTTTACAAACTGATGCATGCTTCTTGTAAAAAATTAAAGGGCAATAAATTAATTTAGGTAAGTAGTTGAAGAGTTTTTCTATCTAAGAAGAAGGTACTGCTCTCTTCCATTTATTTAACTTCCCTTCTGTGGCCCTCAATGGAGATCTGCAAGTTCTCCACAGAAGTCCTACATAATAAGTTTATACCCAGAAAATTGACTGTTCTTGATGCTGTTGGGAATGGAATATTTTCCTTCATTATATTTCCTATTGGTTGTTGGTATAAACCAAACTATTTAGTTTTGGATGTTATTTGAAAACTGGTCATCATTCTTGATTTAAAACTGAATAAAATGAAAAAGATTTGTTTCCTTGTGAAGACTCAGCCATATTAATTTCCCTTTCAGGGTTTTCCACCAGGGTGAATCTGAGGACACTTGATCCAGTTCAGCGTTAACACTGACAATTTTCTACATCCCTTTCATGAGGACTTTTCTTCACTGTGAATGCTCTGATGCTGACTAAGTTGGAAGCTAAACCTGAAGGCTTTCCCACACACATTACACACATAGGGTTTCTTCCAAGTATGAACCGTCTGATGTATAATACAGTCAGAACTATAGCTGAAGCCTTTGCCACACTCCACACATCTGAAGGGTTTCTCACCAGTGTGGCTTCTTTGATGCCGAATTAAATGAGCATTAACATGGAAGGCTTTTCCACACTCCTTACACTGAAAGGGTTTCTCTCCAGTATGGATTCTCTGATGCACAATATAGTCAGAACTACAGCTGAATGCTTTCTCACATTCCATACATTTGAAAGGTTTCTCCCCAGTGTGTATTCTCTGATGCCTAGTTAGTTTGGCATTGATACTAAACGCTTTCCCACATTCCTTACATTGGTAGGGCTTTTCTCCAGTATGGATTCGGTGATGATCAAGTAGGTTTCTTTTAGAAGTAAAGCATTTCCTGCACTCATTACATTCAAAGGGTTTCTCCCCAGTGTGAATCCTCTGATGCTGCATTAATTTCGCATTAACGTTGAAGGCCTTTCCACACACATTACACTCATAGGGCTTCTCCCCAGTGTGGATTCTCAGATGCTGCCGAAGCTGGGAGTTACACCTGAAGGTTTTGCCACATTCTTTACACTCATAGGGTTTCTCACCCGTGTGGATTCTCTGGTGCTGGATTAATTTCCCTTTGACACCAAAGGCTTTTCCACATTCAGTACATTCATAGGGTTTCTCCCCTGTGTGAATTCTTTGATGCTGAATGAGTTTTGCATTACTGCTAAAGGCCTTTCCACACTCCTTACACTGAAAAGGCCTCTCTCCAGTGTGGATGCTCTGATGCTGCCTAAGCTGGGAACTGCACCTGAAGCCTTTCCCACACTCAGTACATTCATAAGGTTTCTCTCCAGTGTGGATCCGCTGATGTTGAATTAATTTTGCATTAACATTGAAAGCTTTTCCACAGTCTTTACATTCATAAGGTTTCTCTCCAGTGTGGATTCTCTGATGTATGATATATGCAGAACTGCAGCTAAAGCCGCTCCCACACTCCTTGCACTGATAGGGCCTCTCTCCTGTATGGATTCTCTGATGCCTACTTAGACTCCCATTAACACTGAAGGCTTTTCCACACACCTTACACTGATAGGGCTTCTCCCCACTGTGGATTGTCTGATGTGTAATATAATGGGAACTGTAACTGAAGCTTTTACCGCACTCTACACATTTGAAGGGCTTCTCCCCACTGTGAAGTCTTTGATGCCAAATTAATTTTGCATTGATGTTAAAGGCTTTGCCACACTCCTTATACTGATGGGGCTTCTCCCCAGTGTAGCTATCTTGACCCTGATTAAGTTGAGAGTTACAGCTAAAGTTTTCCATTAATTCTTCACATTTGAAAGGTCTTTCCCCAGCATTAATTATTTCCTGTTGAATAAGTTTTGTGTCAAAGCTGAAGGCTTTCTCCAGTCTTGTACACTCAGGGGGCTGCTCTCCAGTGGAGATGGTATGACACTGATTCAAATTTGGACTCTGACTAAACAAACACTCCTCCATGGGGCTAGTATTGTCTTTCACCATCCTGTCAATGACATTGCTGTTTTCTTTCTTCACTTCACTTCCTACTGAGTGGACCTCCTGCTGTTTCTTTAGAATATAGGTTTCTGTAAAATCTGTTTCCTGAAAAGAGTTCCTCTGAAGTTTATATGATGTATTATATTTTTCTTCATTCATTTCTTCTGTCAAATTATTGTCAGTCTGGATATCAATATCTAATATAAAAACCAAACATAAAATATCATGTAAGAACCATGTTTTAAAAAAAACAAAAAGAACTGTGACAGAACACATGATCAAAGTAATCAAGAGGGCTCTTTAAAATCACCAGATTGGGCCAAAGAATCTAAATCTGGAATAATATGTAGCTATTAAAAAAATGACATAAACCCATGTGTGCTGAAGTGAAAAGATGTCAAAGATACACTATTTACTGGAAAAACAACTTCAGATATGGTATGTAAAATATCTTCCATTTGTTACAGAAAGTAAAAAGGGCTGACATACATCTATTTGAATATGGCTAGAAATCTACTGCAGGAATATACAAGAAACTGAACAACTGGCACAGGAATTTTGGGAAACTTCCCCACTGCTTTCACCTTATGCACTTTTTGTACTGTTCTGAGCATGTGCAAACATTACAAATAGTAAAGTAATGATTTCAGAAGATCACCAATCTCTATAAACTAACAGCCAGTAACAAGAAGGTTAAGAGTAACAGCAGTGGGACAAAATTCTAGGGTCTTATCTGCCAGATCAAATTCCTTTATCACATCATATTTTACAACACTCTGCAGTTTCTATTAATAAAAATGGAAATTGCTTATGAAGGATAAGGCACAGAATCCAACAACATATGGCAACAAGGGATGGCAAGCATTGACAGCACTAGGAAGCAAATGGGAATGAATTTTGTTTGTTTTCTTAGAACTGAATTTCTAGGCTTTCCAAACTTTCTCCTTTAACATCTTTTTTCTGTACTTGTGAATGGCTCCGTTCAGGCCCATTAGATCCCTCTGACCCCACCTCTTCCCACCCCCACCAGAACACTGCTGCATTCACCTTGTCTTTCCTCATACCTCTTTCTACAATCCTAAAATTGGTCACTCTCCAACATTCTTTCTATCGTCTTATTAGTTTTTCTATAATCCCCACAGTCCTAGTAGAACTAATGATCTGTACACTTATTTTCAAATTTCTCAAAATTGGCCCTAAAATGTTGCCTCTATTTTTTCATTTCTCATCTCTTCTCAATCACATGTAATAAGCCCCCTACCCCAGTATTTCATTATAATACCAAGACAGTAATGCGAAACAGTAATCCCAAGTCATCTTTCTCTTCCTGCAGGACATGGGTTCAGTCCCTTGTCTGGGAAGATTTCACATGCCATGGGGCAACTAAGCCTGCATGCTGCAACTACTGAAGCTGGCAAGCCCAGAGCCCATGCTCCACAATAAAGAATAGCCTCAGCTCTCCACAAGTAGCGAACACCCACATGAAGCAACAAAAGACTGAGTGCAGAGATAAATTAATTAATTAAAAAAGAAATCAACTCTGCTGACATAGGTCTTGTGCCCTATGATTTACCCTTCTGCCTGCCTAGAACCCATTTGGTTCCTTATCCCAATTAACCTACATACACTGATGAGATGAATGTTTCTATCCTCTGCTGACATCATGATGGGTTGTTCAAAGACTTCAGGACTGTGGGCTGCCTACAGAATGAAATCTAGACTTCTCTGACTGAGAATCTCCACAACATCACTGACTTGCCCCTCTGTTTGGTCAAACACTTTAAACTCTCCATTTCATTTCCAAAATATGTCTTCCTTGGTCAGTAAACATCTGGTTGTACAATCACAAGGAACAAAAATCCAATGAAACCACCTTTTTAAAAAAAAAAAAGATTTATCAAAAGGATGCAAGAGTATCTTATGGACCCCAAAGGCAGGAATTAAAGCTAGGCCTCATGAGAAATGGGAAATCACCTGGCAGCTACTCTGTGTGAGCCCATGAGAACCTCATTACTTCAAGAGAGAATCTTGGCCCTGCCCCAAACTAACTGAATGACAACCTGCACATATGCAAGATGCCCAGGAGATGCATTCATTCTTCTTTTGAGAAATGTCAAACTGATAGCAGTACTTCCTCCCAACTTACTTCCTACAGCTTATTATATACAGCTTTCTCCTAAAATACATTAGTAAATAATAAAACAAAATTTAACTGAGCACACACTATATCAGTTACGGGCTTGGCACATGTTCTCTCATTTTATCACCAATCCACAATCCACAGGACTATTACCTCATTTTATAATTACTACTCCATCTTCAAGAGTGAGAATACTATTAGAGAATGCAAATAACTGACCTGCTCAAAGTCACACAACTAGGAAGTAGCACAGTTAGGACTGGATCTGAGAAAGTCTACTCCAAAGCCTACGTTGAAAGATTTAATTCTGTACCCTTCATGTTAAGTGGATGGTGCATAGAAAATATCAAGGACCCAAAGAAGTACTGAATCCTTTTGTTTCAGAAAGGTAGAACAAAATTAGGATTGAAAAGAATTAGAATGAAGCATTAAAAAAAAAAGATGTTCTTGGAATTATAAAGAAATAGCAAACTACGAAAACAGAAAGGTCTCAAATGTTCCTATCTCTAGAAATCAAAATTTATTTAAATGTTTTCTGTACACTTGGCCAATAAACATGGCATGCTTCTACATTGCTGAAGTTGACTTTCTTCCTAAAGGGTTAAACTACTTTCCAGCATAAGGGCAATGAGTGCCTCCCTTACCAGTCCAGAGGCCCTGGGGGCCTGTGCCTGCTCCAGAGGCCAGTGGAGATGGGCCCTCAAGCTCACCTCCTCCCTCCAGTTGTGAGATCACAGCAGGTTTGAGAAGCGGAAATCCTGTTTCAGGGAAAGAAAAAAGGAAAGGCAGGTGAATAATCTCCCACAGCTGATTTCCTAAACCTGATTTCTCAGATTGTGTCAGTAATGGGGAAAGAAGGAAAGAGCCCTAGGGGCAGGTCCTGTGCCTAAGAACTATGGGAAAGGGGGTGGCGTGGGTGGGTAGGAAGGTGCATGTATAGGGTGGGGTGGGAGGCAGAAGCTTGAGAAGATGTGGGAGGATTTGGGCAGGGCCAGACTGAGATACTTCATGCCGGGCAAATAAAGATATTCTGCCTAAAGGGACAGATACCATTTTTTGACCATGGCCTAAATACTATTCCAAGTACACTGAGATTCCTAGAAAGACTCAAGAGATGCAGTTTGGGTGAGGGGGAACCTGAAGGTAATACCGCAGAACAGGAAGTTACTTTTTTTCCTCTCTGTATCCAGAACAGCCTATAGGGTGAATCAAGAGTGCATGCCAGTCCCAGCAGAGTCCTATACTGGCCCCCAAAGGGCTTAGGGTTCATCCTTCCCAGCAACCCCTGGGTCTAGGGGATTAGGAAGCAGCTCCTGAGGTTCCCACTCTGCAAAGGATTACCAGAAGCCCCCTTGCAACCAGCAAAGGGAAAGGAAGCCAGGAAACCCTAATAAGCAGTCTGAGCCCCGGGGGGAGAAAGTGCTTACCCAGGGAAGCCACATTCCCATAATTCTCCAGCATCACATCCCTGTACAGGGCCCTCTGTGCAGTGGACAGGCTGTCCCACTCTGTCTGGGTGAAGTACACAGCCACGTCCTCGAAGGTCACCGACTTCTGAAACAACAGGTTCCTGCTGCCCTACGGCCAATTCCATGGCTCATGCCCTAGGTGAGGGGCAGAGGGCAGTATGAGGGCTTGAGGAGGCGCTTGTGGACAGCACAGAGGTAATGGGGGAAATATTTACAAAAAACACCTGGAAAGTAAGGCATGGCATATCTGGCTCACAGCAGAGAAACCTCATGCCATATTTCATACTTACCAAAGATGACATTAAGTTGAAATGAAAGAAAACAAATTCTCATGACTGAGTTCTCCAATGCAATTACTTTCTTTCAGTTAAGCTACCATGCCCCTCACTGGCAGAAGCAACCCTGGACCCACCCATAGGCTTCACACTCCTGGCCTTGAGGTCTTGCCTTCTGCACCCAGCTTACCACACCTCGCCCTCACCCTCAAGTCAGCTCAAAAGCATATCCATGGCTTCTATCCCATCCACCCCCACCTGCCACAGATTTCTATCATGTGCCCTCTATGAGAGGATGTGTAGCCTCTATCCCAGCACATCCAGCAGAGGAAACTCAGTGCTGCCCAGATCAGCTGGGCGGCGTGGGGGTGGAGAGTGTGGTAAGAGCAGGCTGCCCATTCTGCTTCCAAATGGGTTTCACTGAAAGCCTGCTTTCTGTTACCCTCTCCTATTCAAGCCTCATCCTGTCCAACTTCACCCAAGACTTCACTGTCTCTCCAAGGAGGTTACCATCATTTCACTTACTCCTCTGCATCACTCCACACTCAGCACAGATTCCTTCCTCAACCTTTTGAAACACCTTTGGGACACACTGGCAGCGATCTGCCTCTCAACTATTCTCTACCAGGATCCGTCTTGTTCAATTGTACTGGCCTCCAACCCATCAACCATTCTAGTCCAACTTGTAAGCATTTCTGTGAGTCACTCATTGTGTGACCTGGGTAAGTCAAGTAACTTCCCAGTACAAAATGAAATGCCCTCAACATCAGCCACCACCGGCTTTATCCCACCACCAGTGCTTCTTCCTGAATTCAAATCTCAGCTGATGTCACCCACCATCATCCGCATAAAAAAGAAACTTGGTGATTTATTCCTGGCTCCTCCCTCCTTTACCCCACCCAATCCTTGGACTCACTGTCCTAGAGATTTTTGTTAAGCATTACCTGAATTATGTTAAGCATCCTCCTCTTTAGCAACCACTTGTCTTAATGAAGCCTACATCACCTAGACTGATGGGACTTTTTCTGAAGTGGTCACTCTGCTTTCAAATCTCCCCTCAAAACTATTCCCTATATAGCCGTAAGAAATCTGACCACATTATGGTCCCACATGTGACACAGGGCTCAACAGTAAAGAGTCATGCAACAACTGTGTGACTGTGGGCAAGTCACTTCGATCCCCTCTGCCTTTGTTTCATTTGTGACAGAATGAACACAACACAGTGCCTATCTCCCAGTGCTGCAGTCAGAACTGAGTAATCCAAATAAAGTGCTTAGTATGGTGGCTGCAGTATAGTAAGCTTCAAATGGTGTAACTAGAGTCACTGTGACTATGATTATTCCCAAGCTATAGTCCATGGAGGTCCAAGGATGAGCATCAGGGGGTCCATGAAATCCCTGAAATTGTATGGAAAATTCTGTTTGCTTGTTATTCTGGGGGAAGAGTATCCACAGCTCTTAACAGAGAACTAAACTTTGACCACTGCGCCCCCAGCCCTGAAAGCCTCTCCAGGACACAGCAAGACATCCCACCCCACAGTACATCCTTCCTTTTTTCCTTCACTTGACCCCACTCTCATCTTCTGCTTGCCCTGGAACTATAGGCACAACCACTTTTATGTGGATCTGGTCCTGCTGTTCCTCTTTATTTATATTCCCCTTCCTGGAATCCTACTCCTCTGCTATTCTCTATTCACGGGCAGCTTCCACTTCTCTTACTCACCAGAGCACTTTGCTGGTGGAGCAAGACAAACTGCTGTGCCTTCTGCACTATACCTCTGCCTTCCCCTCGCTCGTGTCTTTCCTTTCCTGGTCTCTGGACCCCATCCCTCCACATCACCCCTTTCCACAAGCTCCAGCCCAGCAGGCTGAAGCATGGAGGCCCCCTCCAATTTCACAGCAAGGCTCACCAGCTTCCTTCCCTTCTCAGTTTTTTTCAATGTGAAACTGCTCAGAGGAAGAGATGAAGGACCCACAGCTCACCTGGGGCCAGGATGTCAGGAGCATGGCTGCCATCATCTGGTCTCCCTCTCAGAGGAGGACTGGAGCTGGGGGAAAACAGGGGAACAAGTATAGGACAAGTCACCCCCACCAGGAAACATATAGCCCCTCACAGAAGGTTTGAGACGCAGGCAGCCAGCATACAGACAAGAGATGCGAGCAGAGCTACCTGCCATGGTAAGAAAGGAGTGATCTGTTCAATGGTTCTGTGCCCAGGGGTCCTCCCAGCCATGACATCGATGCTCACTGCCAGGAACTCTGGTATTTTTACAATTTTGACATATACTGTACACACAAAATTGTGTACATAAAATGCAGGTAGAGCCTGAAGAATACTAAAACAAAGACTCGTGTAGCAACAGTTCAGCTCAAGGGATAGAACATTCCCAAGGTCTTAGGCTTATTTGTCTTTCTCTAAACGAGCTTCCCCTTCTATTTTACAACAAGAGAAGCCAAGATAAAGGGGCTGTAGCCCCAGTACAGAGGCCTGAGAGTCAGGCCCCAGGGAGGCAGTTCGTGGAGAAAGGTACAGCCACTCTCTCCCATGTGCCTGTTCCCCCATACAGCTGAGAGCCCTCAAGAGTCCTGATATCTCTGTACAGATCTTGGAAGTTAGGCTCCTGCCCAGTCCAGCATTACGATGAGGATGCTGGGCTGCAAGTGAGATACCAGGCTGGCTCCTCATACCTTCCAGGCTTCTGATGGCAAAGAAGCCAAGGCCTCAGCTGTCTGAGAGAGGGAGTCACTATAGCATCCAGGGTACCATGGTCTAGCATTCCTTGTTTGTTATATTCCAAACAACATGGACTGGTTATTTCCTGATTTTTACTGCTTCCAAAGTCAGTCTTGAGGTGTTATATTTTCTTAAAATACTGTCCATGTCTTTCAGAATTTAAACTTGAGTGTATGCAACACTGGCCTGTGATTTTTTTCTTTCATTTTTTCCCATACCTGAAGCTACTCTGCTTTTCCTACTTCTTTTGATATATGTGTTGTCCAGACCTTTTAGCTTTAGTTAATGTTATGAACTGAATGTCTCCCCTCAAGATTTGTAAGCTGAAGCCCTAATTTCCAATGTGACTATATTTGGAGACAGGACTCATGAAGACCTAATAAGGTTAAACAAGGTCATAATCTGATAGGGCCAGTGCCCTAAGAAGAGGAAGAGACTCCAGAGTTCTCTTCTCTGCTATGTGAAGACACAAGTGAGAAGCAGCCATCTGTAACCAAAAAGAATCCTTACCAAGAAACAAATTATCTAGTACCTTGATCTTGGACTTCTAGCCTCCAAAATTAAGAGAAATCACTTTCTGTTGTTTAAGCAGTGTATGGTGTTTTGTTATGGCAATCCAGGCAGACTAAAAACATTAGGCTGAAGTGTGGTTTATCTATGTTAACTTTTATTTTTAAACAACCAGCTTTTTAATTTTGAACACCACTTCCTTTTCTGCTTTTTAACTAAGTTCTGATTTTTTAAATTAATTAATTTTAATTGGAGGATAATTACAATATTGTGTTGGTTTTTGCCATATATCAACATGAATGCACGGGTGCACATGTGTCCCCCTAAGCTCTGCTTTGTAAAATTTGTTTCTCTAGCTCTGTAAGAGATACCTTATGCACCTTACCAAATCCTCTTGTCCACTCTTAGTCCAGTTCCAGAGGCTTTGACCAGCTTTGCACAAGTACAACCTACCAATGCTTCCTCAAGGGTCTACACCACACATGGTAATGGCTCCTGCCCTGGGGCTTCTCTGTCCTGTGTGGGACATCTGCAGACGTCCACTGGGTCCTGAAGGACAGGGGAGTTAAAACCTGTGATGCCACCCTTGACCAACAACAGATAGAGGTCAATGGATAAACATTTTCCCCTTTAGTCTCCCAGGTGGGGAGCCATGAGACTCCAAGGCTCTTCAAAGACGCTGTAAATCAGAGTACCACTTTTCCACTGAGAGACCAGCCTGGCAACGCATCCTTGTATTGGTCCCTCCTTCTCTGTTTCACTCCCCTTGTGTTTAACTCTGCCCCAGGACTAAATTTCCAAATAAACAGCCTGCCCACAAGCCTCTGTCCAATCTTCTGCTTTTAGGGAATGCTAAACTACAAAAGGTTCTACCAATTTTATTACATAACATTTTCTCCATAACCCATGATTACTTTTACCTAATTGTTTAGAGACCCAGTAAAGAGTGAACTCTCACAAAACTCTGAGTCCTTATATATCCTTTCAAATTTTAAAGAAATGAATAATTCTAACACTACTTAAACTGTCGCAGATAACCAGCAAAATAAGTTCGTAGTAGTTTATTAACGGGAAATCATGACTAGGAGGGATCATCCCATGAATGCAAGTAAAGTTCAGTATTGGTGTACAGATTGTACTTTTTCACATTAATAAATCAAAGAAATATAAACATGCTCTCCATCTCAGTGGATGTCAAACGTGTCTGATAAAATTCAACATTCACACCTAAATTTTAAAACTAATTCCCTAGGGAACATCTCATATGTAGGTGATATACATACAAAATTATTCATTACTGGAAACAACTCACATGTCCACTGAGAATATGAACAAGCAGTGTTAGGGAAACTGCAGAACAAAGCGAACAGCATTGTAAAAAAATTAACATAATACCAGTGCTGCAGTTTTGCTCAGATTGACAATGATATCAGTTTGCTTCCTGGATCATAAAGGGAAACCCAAACTGCAATCTTTGAAGTCTCAGCCACGGAGAGGATGCCCTGCCTGGGACCTTTTCCCAAGACTCCAGATGTGCTGTGACACGGGACTTGCCAGTGCTGTTTGAGTTTGGACCTTGGTCAAAACCCAATTTGGTGATGCGTCCTCTGCTGTTTCTGTTTCTCTTTTCTTTTAATGTTAGTATATTAAAAGTAAGCTACATAATTCTCTAATAAATATTGCTATTGTTTACTTGTATGGAACAAGTGGCTTATTTTGTTAACAAATCTTTTGACCCTGAGATGAAGTGAAAACTTTCAGCAAAACAAGCTGTCATACTATTTTTACAATGAAACATCAGCCAGTAGCAAAAATGAATGCCTCAGCAACACACACAATCTGGATGAATTCAGGATCATAATACTGAGTTAGGCAAGTCTCAGAAGACTTGCCCAGAAGACTTACAGACACCATGACACTACCTTCATAAAACTCAAAAACAAACAGAATTAATCACATTATTTACAGAAACAAGTATATCTGATAAAATTATTTTTTAAAATAGGTAAAGGAATAATGGATTTCCCTAGTGGCTCAGTGGTAAAGAATCTGCCTGAAATGCAGGAGATCCAGATTCGATCTCTCTGTCAGGAAGATCCCTCGAAGAAGGAAATGGCAACCCACTCCAGTATTCTTGCCTGGGAAATCCTAAGGACAGAGGAGCCTGGAGGGCTACTGTCCTTGGGGCTGCAAAAGAGTCAGATATGACTCTTAGCAACTAAACAACAATAGCAAAGGCTATGACTAACACAAAATTCAAGAGAGTACCTCTAGGGGACAGAAAGTGGGAGCTGGAGTGGGGAGGAGTATACAAACACATGCAGCCATATTGGTAACGTTCTCCTTTTTATTGGAGTGTCTCATGGGTGCTCACATCACTACTATGCTTCATAAATGCCATGCTAGATCAATCTTCTGAATACATGAATTACATTTAAAATATATACTTATCTATATGATATGAAATAATTTTCAACATGCAAAAGGTACAGCGCTATCTTCTGTGTAAAACAAAAAGGAACTATAATATATGTATAACTGGTGATTTGTGCAAAAAGAAATAAATGGAAAAACCAGAAACTAAGGAGAATGGTGCCTCAGGTGTGGATGGGAAGTCAGTGAAAGGAACTCAGGGAATGGAAACAGGGTGAAAGGAAACCTGGGTGCAGAAGTAGAAGGGTGACAGGAAATGACACCTCACTGAGTGTGTCTTTTTGCTCTGACTTTCACATAATGCTTTGCATATCAAAATACACACACACACACACAGACATACATATATTTAAAAAATCAACCAACCAGGATGGGATGGGGTGACAACCTCCAAAAACTAAGAACAACAGCAAATGAGCCTAACCATACCACAACATTACTGCACTGAAGCGATGGGAAAGAAAACAAGTAACTCTGATAAATAATATTTTAACTAAATACTGTAAGGCTAAAAAGACCTGTACCCAAAGGCTTCTTGAGGTTGTATGATTTTTAATTTTATTGCCATTCTCCCCTATTTGGCAGTTAAAATCACAAATTTCCTTTGAATGCACTACAAACTACATTCCAAAAGCTTTTCAAATATATATATATATATATATATATGTCTTCATTACTGCTTTACATTTTTAATAAACTTGCTTTCCTGAGGGTATGAATGAGCAATTTAATAACTATTTTATGGGTATTCTAGGACGGAGAAAATCAGCATATTCTACATTGTAACAATCATTCCCAGGTCATCGTCATCCCATAGCCCCAGAGATGTCGGGTCCGGTTACCTTTTGGAACTGACATCGCTCCAGAAGACAGTGCCCTCCAAAATCCGGGTTTCTTCCGATCTCAGGTGCCCTGGAGGGGCTCTTGCTTTTTCTGTTCCCCCACTGACCTCGATTCACCCTGTGTTCGGAAGGAAGACACATAAAGCTTATACTTGAAACGCATACAGATAAAAGCCCCTGCACTAACCCAACACATCGAGAGACTCGTGATACTATCTTAGGCCTCTTCATCTCTGCAAATATTCCACCCTCTGGCTGCTCCAACACAAGCTCCCAAAAGGCCAGTAGCATCTTCTCCAAAGTGCTAATTGCTCGCGGCTTCGCGGTTGTGACAAAAACCCAGGCTTCGCCTTCTACCCGACGGAATGTAAATGGCTACTAAATCTAAAGTAGGCGCGAAGAGGACCGAAGAAGCCCACAGATCCACCTCAACGGAGCTTGGAGGAGCATCACAACCGCAACCAGAGCGTTTCACCAGGCACCGCCCCCGCCTCCCGCAGCCCAATCTCACCTCCGAAGCTAGCCGCTCCACGGCGCGGCCGGAAGTACGTCACCAGACCGCGGCCGAGTCTCTCTAGCAGCAGCATCGCTCCTTCTCGGATGTGCTCTGGCCCCACCCCCTGCAGCGGAATCCCGGGTACTCTATCCTGGCTTCCTTCTCCCGGATGCGGGTCTAATAGAGAAAGCAGTGCTCCTCGAGGTGGGGTAGGGAAGGCAAGAATGAGGCGAGCGATGGACCCAAACCAGGGGCTGGCGCCTGGGATCTGTATCGTAGTAAAGCTGCAGGTATAACCAGATCTGGGAGTTTCCGGACTGGACCCCTGATCACACGATGTCAAACCTAAGGCCCCCTTTTTGAAACAAATATTTCCTAATGACCCATAAGCTCCTGTCATGAAACTCATAGATAATAGCTTAGAAGATCATAGACAGTATAAACAACCTGCACTTTAAAAAATAATGTTATAAAGGAAAAATAAAATAATTTATAAAGTGTATGTATTTCAGTAGGTAAATGTTTGGTAAGTCGGATGTAGACCTAATATGAAATTGCTCAGTCGTGTCCGACTCTTTGTGATCCCATGGACTGTAGCCTACCAGGCTCCTCCGTCCGTGGAATTTCCCAGGGAAGAGTGCTAGAGTGGGTTGCCATTTCCTTCTCCAGGGGATATTCCTGACCCAGGGATTGAACCGAGATCTCCTGTGTTGCAGGTAGATGCTTTACTGTCTTGAGCCACCAGGGAAGCCCAGAGACCTAATAAGTCCTCAGATAACTTGCCTCTACACATAGAACATATGGGGTCCAAAGCCATAATGCTGTATATTATGTTGGTATTTCAAAAAACTACAAGGTGTGATCCAAAATGGTTGATCACAGAATCTCCTGATTACACATACACAGTAGTTACATTTTTGGAGAATCAGCTATGTCAAAACCGTGCAAAAATATACTGTGTTTATCCTGATTAAAAAAAAAAAAAAAAAGCTCTAGATTCAGGTCATCTGTAAGCAGTTTTTACCTATGTGAATGTCCATCAAGACATATGAAAGCCTGAAAAACTTTTCATAGGCAGGTCTGTGTTGTGCACTGCAAGCTGTGTTACTCCTGGCTCCCAATCAACACCACCAAATCTTGTGACAAAAATAGCCCTGTTAAACTCCAAAATGATCATTAAAATGTAATTTTTACTTTTAATTTTGCTCAAGGTAAACAGCAGATTGAGATAGATGGCTGTCTATATAAGCCTTATATATGCAAATAACTCAATGGTGTAGTTAGGCAAGTATGGAGTTCAACTAACTTTGGGTTGGTGAATTGAGGACAGAATGTTTGTTAGGTGAATTAGCAGAATCTTATATGCTTTGACTTATTTGGGGAGTGTGGCAGGGTGATAATGGTATATAAAGTATGAGAATTAGTGGGAGGATGGTAGGGGTTTGTTTAGACAAGCTATTTATCAGATATAAGTGTGCATGTGTGGTATGTGTGTAACTGCTCTGTATCCTGTGACCACTGACACAGTAACACATTATGATAGATGATGTTGGAAAATAATACTCAATTTAAGCTCAGCTAATTCTTGCACAAGGCCTTCCCTTGTAACTCAGCTGGTAAAGAATCCGCCTGTAATGCAGGAGACCCTGGTTCAATTCCTAGGTCGGAAAGATCCACTGGAGAAGGGATAGGCTACCCACTCCAGTATTCTTGGGCTTCCAAGCTGGTGGCTCAGCTTCCCTGGTAAAAAACCTGCCTGCAATGTGGGAGACCTGGATTCAATTCCTCGGTTAGGAAGATCCCATGGAGAAGGAATACTTCACTCCAGTATTCTGGCCTGGAGAATTCCATGTACTGTATATCCATGGGGCTTGCAAAGAGTTGGACATGACTGACCTTCACTCTCAAAGCTTTCACGTCACTCTCAAAGCTCAGCTACAAGTTTCTTAACTGTGTTAAGGCCTCTGATGGCCATAGCTGAGTCCCAGCATCCCCCTCAACTTAAAAATACCAGAAGCATGAAACCAGTGAGCATGGCTGATTAATCATTAGCCTATTGAGGTGTATTACTCAAGGGGAAAGAATGGATGATTTTAGGTGAGATAATCTTGAAGTAAGAACCAGATGCCAGATATAGTTCATTTATAGAAATCCTCATGGTTCATTGGCCTAGTACAAGGAAAGAGGCACATTTGTGGGTGAGCTGATGATTTATCACAGCTTGATAATTATGCTCTGCCTATTAATTATGATAAGCATAATGATTGGAAATGATTAGCTTTATGTGATATGCATGATTTTAAAAATATGTCCTGTGCAATATTAATCACTTCAATTACCCCTGTGAATGTCTGTGGGGACTGGAATCTAATGTGAGTTGAATTGTTTATGTGTATGGAATATCAACAGGCTGATGTACATACTTATATACACAGGATGAATAATTCATGATTATACATATCATATACTATGCATGAGAAGGCATAGTATTTATTTACATAAGTGGAAGGGCACAAAATGCACAAAGGACACCGTAATATTAGTTTTTAGACATCATTTTTAAATACTCACACAGCACTTAAAGATCATGTAAAATGTTCCATAAGCAAGTTGTCCAGGGAATCACTGAAGTAGAGTTCAGCTTTGGGTGTTGATGGAGGGCTGGAGCATCTTCCTTGAATCTTAGGGGAAAATGTTATTTTCCTTTTCTGTTTTAGAATAACAAACTAATAAGTACACAGCAAAGACTCTTCTTTTTAGGAGGTTCTCTACAATAATGCTTGGTAGTGGTATAAGGACTACAATTATAGGAGTACAGAACAGATCCTCTTTGTCAAGTGATAATAAATGAGTGATCGACAGTTTGTCCTCCAATTCATGTCACTGTTAAGAGGCCCCCTAAAAGTATGCTGTTAATAGGTCCCCTACAAATACTTTGGCCACCTGATGCAAAGAACTAACTCATTGGAAAAGACCCTGATGCTGGGAAAGATTGAAGGCAGAAGAAGGGGACAACAGAGGATGAGATGGTTGGATGGCAATCACTGATTAGATGGGAAGGTTTGAGCAAGCTCCGGGAATTGGTGATGGACAGAGAAGCCTGGCCTCCTGCAGTTCATGGGGTCGCAAAGAGTCGGACACAACCAAGCAACTGAACTGAGCTGAACAAGTATTCAAGATAAACACTGGCTAATAGGTCATAATGTTATACTTCGCTGTTTTACTATATGAAGTATTGGGACCACTGATAAAATTAGGAATGAGATGGTTAATGCTAGAACACCTCCTATTTGTTGTAAATGGATCACAGAATTGCATATGAAAATAAGAAATATCATTCTTATTTGATGTGAGGGAGTGCACTGAGGAGGTTAGGTGGAGTATAACTCTCTGGGTACCCTAGAAGGTCAGGTGAGACTAGTATTAGTAAGATTAAGATTAGAAATAGAAACAAGGCACCCAAGATATCTTTAATTATGTAGTATGGATGAAATGTGATATTGTTCATTCAGGATGAGATCCATTTTGGACTATTAGAGACTGTTTCATGATGGAATAAGAAGTGAAGAACTGCTAAAGCTGCAATAATGAATGGGAGAATAAAGTAGAATGTGAAGAACAGGGGAAGGGTGGCTTTATCAACTGAGAATCCTCCTAAGAGTCATTTGACTAGATTACTTCCAATGTCAGGAAGTACTGAAAGGAGATTTGTAATTAATGACTGTTGCTCTTCAAAACGATATTTAGTCTTATGGTAAGACATAACCTATAAATGCTGTGACTATTACCTTAAATAGTATGATGATTCCAATGTTTCATAGTTCTAGAAAGTATAAGATCCAAGTATCAGCCTCTTCCTACATGGATAAATAAGCAAACAAAGAATAAGAATAGGAAAGGTCCAATTGCATATAAATACCAGATAATTCATCCATAGTTTACGTTTTAGTAGATATGGGTCACAGATGAGAAGGCAGTTATTGTATCTGATATATAATATATTGTTAGGAATAACCCTGTTAATATTTGTATAATTAAACAAATATAAAGCAGGGATGAAAATTTCATCACGCTGAGCTATCATCCTAAAAGATGATATTGTGACAGTGCTACACTCTATACCAGCAAATTTGGAAAACTCAGCAGTGGCCACAGGACTGGAAAAGGTCAGTTTTCATTCCAATTCCTAAGAAAGGCAATGCCAAAGAATGCTCAAACTACCACACAATTGCACTCATCTCACAGGCTAGTAAAGTAATGCTCAGAATTCTCCAAGCCAGGCTTCAACAATACATGAACCGTGAACTGCCAGATGTTCAAGCTGATTTTAGAAAAGGCAGGGGAACCAGAGATCAAATTGCCAACATCCGCTGGATCATCAAAAAAGCAAGAGAGTTCCAGAAAAACATCTATTTCTGCTTTATTGACTATGCCAGAGCCTTTGACTGTGTGGATCACAATAAACTGTGGAAAATTCTGAAAGAGATGGGAATACCAGACCACCTGACCTGCCTCTTGAGAAATCTGTATGCAGGTCAGGAAGCAACAGTTAGAACTGGACATGGAAAAACAGACTAGTTCCAAATAGGAAAAGGAGTATGTCAAAGCTGTATATTGTCACCCTGCTTGTTTAACTTATATGCAGAGTTCATCATGAGAAATGCTGGGCTGGATGAAGCACAAGCTGGAATCAAGATTGCTAGGAGAAATATCAATAACCTCAGATATGCAGATGACACCACCCTTATGGCAGAAAGTGAAGAACTCAAGAGCCTCTTGATGAAAGTGAAAGAGAGTGAAAAAGTTGGCTTAAAACTTAACATTCAGAAAACTAAGATCATGGCATCCGGACCCATCACTTAATGGCAAATAGATGGAGAAACAGTGGAAACAGTAGCAGACTATTTTTCTGGGCTCCAAAATCACTGCAGATGGTGAATGCAGCCATTAAAAAGATGTTTACTCCTTGGAAGAAAAGTTATGCCCAACCTAGACAGCACATTAAAAAGCAGAGACATTACTTTGCCAACAAAGGTCCGTCTAGTCAAGGCTATGGTTTTTCCAGTAGTCATGTACGGATGTGAGAGTCAGACTATAAAGAAAGCTGAGCACTGAAGAATTGATGCTTTTAAACTTTGGTGATGGAGAAGACTCTTGAGAGTCCCTTGTACTGCAAAGAGATCCAACTAGTCCATCCTAAAGAAAATCAGCACTGAATGTTCATTGGAAGGACCGATGTTGAAGCTGAAACTCCAATACTTTGGCCACCTGATGCAAAGAGCTGACTCATTTGAAAAGACCTTAATGCTGGGAAAGATTAAGCTGAGAGGAGAAGGGAATGACAGAGAATGAGATGTTTGGATGGCATCACTGACTCAAAGGACATGAGTTTGAGTAAATTCCGGGAATTGGTGATGGACAGGGAGGCCTGGCATGCTGCAGTCCATGGGGTCGCAAAGAGTCGGACACGACTGAGCAACTGAATTGAATGACTGACTGACTGAGCTATTTGATAGGGCTGGTAGATCAATAAATGCATTGTTAACAATTTTGATTAATGGGTGGGATTTAATTAATGTTGGTCATTAGTGTAACTACAGTTGGGACACAGTGATGATTTTTCAAGTCATTGGCTATGATTACATTGTATGTAAGAATAATGACGACACACATTATATTTGCTTCAAGAACTATTTTGGTAGTTCTGTAGGTTTTTCTTCAAACCCTTCACAAATTTATTGTGGGCTTGGGTATCCTAGATTGAAAAATTCCATGGACAGAGACGCCTGGCGGGCTACAGTCCATGAAATTGCAAAGAGCCAGACACAACTGAGCACCCACTTCTATGGGTTAGTAAAGTGGTTGTGTACTGTAATAAATTTTGGTGTTTTGTTTTGTGCTTAATGATTTTTAAAATTTGTTTAAGGGAAATATGTTTAGTAGTTTTAAGGGGAATATTTAATACTTTTTGGTTATACAACAGTTGTGTCTACTGAGCAGTATCCTGAGGTTTGAGATTCTAATAAAACCTTCTTAGGTAAGCTTCTTTCATGTTATGATAGAAATGCAAATTAAAACCACAAAATGACATCCATTCACATAAAATAAATGGTTATAATTAAGAACAAACAAAGATGTTGGTTGGCAACAATGTAGAGAAATTGGAACCTTTACTCATTTTTTGTGAAAGTGTAAAATGATGTGGACAGTAAGTACACATATTGGCATATGGACAATATGTACACATACTGGCATACACAATGTTTGACATTTCTTCAAAAAACGTAAAATACAATTCAAGCTTGTTTTAAGAACTCCATGCCTAGGTATATGCCACAAAGAACTGAAAACCGTTGTTCAAACAAAAACTTGTACATGAATATTCATAGCAGCATTGTTGACATTGGCCTAATGGTAGAAATAATTCAAATAACCCATCAGTGGATGAATAGATAAGTAACAGAGGGTGGATCTATAAAGTTCCATATGATTCCGCCATATACAGAAAGGGAGTAAAATAGTGCATCTGCTGTAGAAAAGAAAACACTATGGTGGTTCGTCAAAAGCATAAATTAATGTATGATTTGTCAATGCCACTTCAGAATATACAGCCAAAAGGTTTGAAGGATGGAGTGAAACAGATATTTGTACACCCATATTCATAGCAGCATTACTCTGGCCAACAGGTAGAAGCAACCCAAGTATCCATGATACATGAACTGATAAGCAAAATGTGATATATACACAAAGGTATATTATGCAGCCTTAAAAACTGAGGAAATTCAAACACATGCTACATCATGTATGAGCCTTAAAGTCATCAGGCTAAGCGAAATAACCTGGGCATAAAAGGATGACTATTATATGGTTCCACTTCTGTGAAGTATTCAGAGAACCGAAATTCAGAGACAGAAAGTAGAATGCAGTTGACAAGGGTTAGAGGGAGTTAGTGTTTAATGGATGTGGTTTCACTTGGAAAAAATGAAGAAGTATGGGAGATGGATGGTGAGGACATTTGAACAACAAAAATGTAGTGAATGTCATAGAACTATACTTTAAATGGTTTAACTGGTAAATGTTATGTTCAATAGATTTAATCACAATGGAAAATGTGAATGAAGTACTGACAGAAGTTACAACATGCATGAACACTGAAAATACCCTAGAAAGAAGCCATATAGAAAAGACCATCCAGATCATACTCACCTTGTGTGCTTTAACTCCATCAAGGTTGTGAAAATGAAAGTCTCAAGATAACTTCCAGAAAAAGAAAACTGGATCAGAATGGAAAAGACATTTTCAAACTTTGGGACAGGTGGTAGAAGTGAGCCTGTAGATTAGATAAGAAGGTGAAAATCAATGATTTCTCATATTCGGGTTATAGGGGTGTTCCCTGGGACAGTGTCCCTTTTGGGGGTAAAACACAATAGAAATTATCATTTAAACTGGCATATGTGGCAAATCAGTGATGACTGGGAAATGTGAAGTGAAAGCTGCTCAGTCATGTCTGACTCTTTGTAACCCCATGGACTATAAAGTCCATGGAATTCTCCAGACCAGAGTACTGGAGTAGGTAGCTCTTCCCTTCTCCAGGGGATCTTCCCAACCCAAGGATCAAACCCAGGTCTCCTATATTGCAGGTGGATTCTTTACGAGCCGAGCCACAAGGGAAGCCCAAGAATACTGGAGTGGGTAGCCTATCCCTGATATCCTGAGCTACCAGGGAAGCCTGGGGAATGCTGAACCTACAAATAAAGAATACACTGTACTGCTACTTCAAGTTTTCTGTATGTTTGAAGTTAGCAGAAAGTAAATAAACACGTCAAAACACGTTTTCAAAACAAACACGTCATCTACTTTTCTGACATGGTATTAAGACATCAAACTTCATGATGGGGCCAAGCCCTACCCACATTCAGCTCTCCTAAAATGGTTAAGTTAATTACTCTTAAAGGAATCCAGATATTATTAAGAGGTACTGTGGGAAGATTATATTAGTAGCGACTATGTCTTGGGTGTTATGGATGACTTAGAATGTGGTAGAAACAATGACATTTTTGAATTACAATTTTCCACATCAAACTGTCAAAAGTTACAAGTAATACATAAATTTAGTAAAGCTGTATGATACAAAAGTAATACACAAGTCAGTTGAGTTTTTAACACATTAAAGAAGTATCAGAAAGAAAAATTAAGAAAACAATCACATTTGCAACTGCATCGAAAAGAAAATATCTAGGTGTAAATTTAACCAATGATGTGAATGAAACACTTGCACAATGAAAATTGGAAGACACTAATAAAGAAACTGAAGAAGAAACAAACAAAAATATTCCGTGATTGAGCATTGGAAGATTATTGTTAAAACGTTCCTCCAGCCAAAGCAGTGCACACATTCAATTCAAACACAATTAAAATGACATTTTTCACAGAAACAGAATTAACGATTCTACCATGTATGTGGAACCAAAAAAGCCCTGAAATAGCCAAAGCGATTCTAAAGAAGAAAGCACAGCTGGAGTCGATTCACTCCCTGACTTCAAACTATATCACAAAGCTTCAGGAACCAAAACAGTGTGGAACTAGCACAAAAACAGGCACACCCACCAGAGGAAGAGAACAGAGAACTCAGAAGTAAACTCAAGGATATACATTAGGATTAAGTCCCCTCAATAAACTGATGCCCAGGAAACTAGATACAACACACCAAAGAAACGCACTGGAAATTGTCTACACCACACACAAAACTACCTAAAATCCACAATTTTCCACATCAAGTCCTTCTCTGGCTCCTATGAAAATGGATCACTGCCCCCCACCCAGGAGTCAGCCACATACAGGAAGCTTCACCCCACTTTTTCTTTGCCTTTTACTCCTGCAGCAGTGCCTCCCAGCAGGTCTTGCAAACACTGAACTCTTGTCTGTACATGTAAGTGTGTCCTGAAAAGACTGAACTGTCTGCGTTAACTCAGCCAGGCACTGTCTGGAAGTCAAAGCCCTGGCGAATCCTGAGACAACCAAGCTCCTATCAGCTGCATGGAATCAAGTCCTCTAGATGAACATGAAGGCACCTCAAAATTCAGAGAGGTAGACTTGGCTCTGCCTGCTGGCCAGCTGGTAAGTATGCAGGCTTCAACCACTCAAACCTTTCAGTTGAGGCCCTGTGCCCATCTGACAGGTCTGATGAATCCACTAAGTCTGAAAACTCAAATGGAGCCAAAAATCCCATGACAAGCCACAAATGGAAAGAAAAAGATTTTCAAAACACTTACATGATAGAGGATTTGTACTCAAATTATACCAACAACTATAGAACAAACAGCCCCATTAGAAATGGCTTTATATCTGAACAGGAAACCTACTTGACCATTAAAGATAGTAAACAAGCATGTAAAAATATGTTCTGTATCACATATCATTAGGGAATTACAAATGAAAACAATGAGAAAGTACTGTAAAACTATTAAAACTGCTGAACTAAAAAAAAAAAAATGATACTACCAATTGATGCAACTGTGAGAAACAACAGAAACTATCCTTCACTGCTGGTGAAATGGATATACAGCTACTTTGCAAGACATTTGGGAAGATTTTTGCAAAGCTATACAAATATCACTGTGGAAAACAATATTGTAGCTCCTTAAAAACTTAAAGTTAATATATGATCTATCAATTCCACCCCAGTATAAATACCCAAAATATTTGAAAGCAGAAACTGAAACATATTTGTACAACCATTTCATAGCACCATATTCACAACAGACAAAGGTCGAAGAAATTCAACTACCCACTGACAGGTGAATCAAAAACAAGATATGGTATGAATGAATAAACAATGGGATACAATTCAGCCTTTAAAACTAAGGTAACTTTCAAACATGCCCACAACGTGGATGAAGCCTGAAGTCACTATGCTAAGCGAAATAAGTCAGTCAGAGAAATACAAATATTGTACAATTCCACTTACACAGATATCTAGAGAAGACAAAAATAATGTGGTTTCCAGGGGCTGAGGGCACCAAGTTAATAGATAAAGAGTTTCATTTGAGAAAGATAAAAGTTCTGGAGATGGAGGGTGAGGATATTTGTACAACAGTATAAAGGTAGGTAATGCCACAGTTCTGTACACTTAAAATGTTTAAACGGTAACTGTCATGTTCATGTTATATATTTTTAATCACAATGGAGAAAAAATTAATTAAGTACTGATAATTTTTACAATATGGATGAACATTGAAGACATTCTCAGTAGAAAAAAAGCCACATGGAGAAGGCCACCCAGATCACATGTTCATCTTGTGGGCTTTAAATCCATCAAGGTTATAAAAATAAGGGAAAATCTAAGTAATCATTCCAAAACAAGAAAACTGGGTCAGAACAGAAGAAGTTATTTTCACACATTTGGACAACTGTTAAAAGTTTTTGAAGTGGGCTTGTGAATTAAATTATAATGTGGGAACCACAGAATTTCTTGATTGGGGGGTTATGTGTCATTCTGAGAGAATTCCTGTTGTGGGTAAAACACACTAGAGTATTCTGTGTGAAGGAGCAAATGTGAATACTTTTTACTGCTGTGAAATTTTGTTTGAAATTATTAGAAAGTAATTTACTTTTCAAAACAACCATGTCAATACCATGCCAGAAAAACAGAAGACCTTGAACTCTGTTATAAATGCCAAGACTTACCTAGATCCAGTTTAACCAAAGTTGTGATATTAACTGGCCTTGTAGGGGTCCACATGTTATTAAGACATATCATAAGATTACATTAGGAGCCACCATGTCTTTGGTGTTATGGATGACCTGGAATACAGTAGAAACAGTGGGATTTTATTTTTTTAATAATTTAAAAAAGTTTATTTGGAGGCATCAGGTCTTAGTTGTGGCATGTGGGATCTAGTTCCTTGACCAGGGAACAAGCCTAGACTCCCTGCATGGGGAGCACAGAGTTTTAGCCACTGAACTACCAGGAAAGCCCAACAGTGGGATTTTAGAATTACAATTTTCCACTTCATGCCACATAAAAAAAATTGCTGGAATAAAATTCAATAATGTTGTAAAATATAAAATCAATATATAAAAATCAGCTAAGTTTCTATGCACTAATAACGAACCACGAGAAGGATAAATTAAAAAAGCAATCCAACTTATAACTTCATTGAAAAGAGAAAAAATACCTAGGATAATTTTAACCAAGGATATGAGACTCCTACTTGTACTTGGAAAACTATAAAGCCCTGATTTAAAAAATGAAAGAAGACACAAATAACTAGAAAAATATTCTGAGCTCGTAAACTGAAAGAAATACTATTACTAAAATGTCTATTCTACCCAAAGCCATCTGTAGATTCAATGCATTCTTGATCAGATTTTCAAAGGCTTTTTTTCATAAAACTAGAAATAGTCATCTTAATATTTGTATGGAACCACAAAGGACCCTGAACAGCCAAAGAAATCTTCTGAGAAAAAAGAAAACAGCTGGGAGTCAAAAGTCTCCCTCTGACTTCAAACTATATCGTGGAGCTAAGGTAACAGAAACAGTGTGGAACTGTCACAAACACAGATGTGCAATAAAGGAAAAGAATACAGAGTAAGCCCAGCAAAAAACTCACATGCAGATAGTTAATTCATAAGAACAGGGCCAAGAACCTACAACATGGACAGTCCCCTGAAAAAAAATGGTGTTAGGGAAACTAGACACTATATACCAAGTAATTAATTAGAAAACACATGGGATGAGATTAATATAGACAAACTTTACACCTTATACCCAAACTTACCCCAAATTGTCCACAGACAAACTTAAATTAGGAAACTGTAAAAATTCTGAAAGAAAACATTAAAAAAAAAATCTATATGACCTTGGATCTGGGGATGACCTTAACACACATCACCAAAAGCCTATCAACAAAAGAAAGAAGTTAATAATGTGGATTTTATAAAATTAGAAATTTCTATTCTGTGAAAGGAAAGCCAAAGACAAACCACAAATAGATGTTTGCAAAACATACATCTAGTAAAGGATTTGTTCTCATTTTGTCCTAAGAACTCTAGAACAAAAAACCTCATTAAAAATGGGCAAAGATCAGAACAGACTCCTGGCCAAAGAAGATATGCAGAGCAGAAATAGTCACACAAGAATACACTCAACATCAAGAATACACGCAACATCACAAACCACTGTCGTTGTTCAGCTGCTAAGTCGTGTCTGACTCTCTACAACCCCATGGACTGTATGTAGCCCACCAGGCTCCTCTGTCCATGAGGTTCTCCAGGCAAGAACACTGGAATGGGTTGCCATTTCCTTCCCTATCACATACCATTAGGGAAATACAAATCAGAACGTGACAGTACTGCACATCTATTAGAACTGCTACACTTCAAAACATGACAATATCTATTGCTGGAGGGGGAAGAACAAGAACTCTACTTCTCTGCTGGTGGAGTACAGGTACAATCATTTTCGAAGACAGTTTGGCATTTTCCTATAACTAAACAAGTCTTACCATAGGATATAAAAATCAAACCTATAGTATTAAGACAATTGTTTTGAAAAAATGTGTTCAAACAAAACTACTATAAATTATATACATCAGCTCTATTCATAATGACTAAAAGCTTGAAGGTACTAGGATATTCTTCTATAGATGAATGCATAAGCATATTGGGGCACTAACATGTGAAGGGCAAGAGCATATGCACCCCAAATATGCCTGTTTAATATAAGAATTATTTTAGGCTGATTAATTTCCTAAATTGCAAACACATATATATAAATCCATCAGAAGTTACCTTTTTATGAGGTCACTACAGAGGGGGCCTCAGCAAAGGATGAAGAAAGGTACAGGGAAAATAATTTTTCCCATCCTACACAGTCAATGGAATAGTTTTAGCTATTGAAAGAAATGAATCACAAACCCAAGCAGAGACAAAGATGACTCTACATATATATTGCTAAGTGTTAAAATATAAAATAACATAATGCACGAGACAAAAAACAAGAACATAATTTATTTGGCATCTTAAGAATTGCTATTCGGAAGACAGACTGAGGTAACCCTGAAAGTGTTCTTGGTGAAAGATTCTTTTTTTTTTCCCCATTTATTTTTATTAGTTGGAGGCTAATTACTTTACAATGTTGTAGTGGTTTTTGTCATACATTGACATGAATCAGCCATGGATTTACATGTATTCCCCATTCCGATCCCCCCTCCCACCTCCCTCTCCACCCGATTCCTCTGGGTCTTCCCAGTGTACCAGGGCCGAGCACTTGTCTCATGCATAGAATCAATACTGTCAAAATGACTATACTACCTAAAGCAATCTATAGATTCAATGTAATCCCTATCAAGCTACCAATGGTATTTTTCACAGAACTAGAACAAATAATTTCACAATTTGTATGGAAATACAAAAAACCTCGAATAGCCAAAGTAACCTTGAGAAAGAAGAATGGAACTGGAGGAATCAACCTGCCTGACTTCAGACTATACTACAAAGCCACAATCATCAAGACAGTACGGTACTGGCATAAAGACAGAAATATAGATCAATGGAAGAAAACAGAAAGCCCAGAGATAAATCCACAAACCTATGGACACCTTATTGTCGACAAAGGAGGCAAGAATATACAATGGAAAAAAGACAACCTCTTTAACAAGTGGTGTTGGGAAAACTGGTCAACCACTTATAAAAGAATGAAACTAGAACACTTTTTAACGCCATACAAAATAAAACTCATACAAAAATAAACTCAAAATGGATTAAAGATCTAAATGTAAGACCAGAAACTATAAAACTCCTAGAGGAGAACATAGGCAAAACACTATCCGACATAAATCACAGCAGGATCCTCAATGACTCACCTCCCATAATATCGGAAATAAAAGCAAAAATAAACAAATGGGACCTAATGAAACTTAAAAGCTTTTGCACAACAAAGATTCTTGTTTTATCCCAGAAAAATTCTCATCTCCCAGAGATGAGACAGAGAAATCAAGAAAGTAAAGCAAGCATTTATTTAAGCTAAAGTACACTCTGAGTGGGGAGAGCAGACAGGCTCAGGCGAATAGCTACCCTGAGGTTTTTTGGCAAGCCAGTCACGTGAAATGTAATATTCGCTGGGGAGAGAGGAGTTTGGGGGTCATGTTCTCTAATTTTTATCACAGCACCATCTTCCTGGAGGGAAGAGGGATTTTTGTCCTTATTTAGCATTGATAAGAAATGTCACAGCATCGGTATAGGATGGACACTTATCTGCAAGGCTTATTTTATTGTAATGAAAGCATAATGAGCAAAAGGTTACATTCAAACACACCAGATATTCCTGCATTTTTCCACATTTCTTTGTTCTGCCTTCAGGACACTTATCTCCAAATGTATGGTCTCCAGCATGGAAGTTCCAAGGATCCCCCTCTCCTCTGCACAAGATGCATGGCTTCCTGCCATCTGACCCATGCTCCGCTTCCTCTGCTCATATCTAGTTTTTTTTGTTGTTTTGCCACTCAGTCATGTTCGCCTCTTTGCGACCCCATGGACTATAGCCCCACCAGGCTCCTCTGTCCATGGAATTTCACAGGCAAGAATTGTGGAGTGGGTTGCCATATCTAGCTACCTTCCTGTTTTAACAAAAACATTCTGGAGGGAGAGAAAGAGACAGGGACTTTTAAAAACAAAAGGCAGTAAGGCTGATAAAAGTTGCCTGGCGACAGTCATGACTGACTCTGTTGGAAGTCTGGAAATGTTTGTCCTTAAAAGAATCACCAGTTGTTTCAGGGTAGAAGTAAAAAAAAAGTTGATAGATTTCCATGAATTACTTTAGTATAAAAAGTCAATAAGTAAACAGGCTGCCTGCCATGAGTTTCTGACAGATGTGCTGGAAGACTTCAACAGGTGAAAGACACAAACAAAATAAACCCTAAAATATGGAAAATACAAACAGACCAACTGACCATCCTCTGGCCCTTTCTTCCTACTCGTCCTCCTCTTCGTGTTCTGGGATGTCGAGAAATGAGGAAGAGTTGTCTGGCAGCTCCCCTTAGACATGACTGCACCTAATGTCTTCACCTCCCCTAAGCATGCCCCACTCATCAGGTACACCATCCCAGATGGAGCCTCAACAATCAATGATCCTGATGTGTCAGCACTTTTTTTATTACAAGGGACTAGACACACTCAAGTGAAATAAGTATTATATTATAGATGATAGAAAGTAATCTTTACAAGAGACAAGTTGAAGAGTGGGTTCAGAGGTGTCAGATCCAAGGGCTCACATAGTGTGCAACCTTGCCCCTCTCTGTCAGTCCTGCTGAGGGTCTTACGGTGACTCCACTCACAGGCAGTCTCTCACCAGCACCTCCAGGATGACACAAGCTCAAAGTCCATTCTACTGTGAATAGTTTCTCCCTCACTAGAGTTCCATGAAGACTCATGACTTGGAATGCCTTTGGTCTGGCTTGGATAACATTCTCACCCTTGCACCGATCAAAGCAATCAGAGGACAGAAAAGGGAACTGGCTAGACATGTATCATGTACCCATCTTCCAGATGGGTGGAATGCAGGGTCAGCCCTCTTAAACTGTCTGGACTGGAAGCCCATGAGATGTAGCTCCCTAAGGAAAGCTGAGGTGCTATACTTGGACATGTGGACAGATCCTGGCTTGGTGAAAGCAGCAGATCCCACTGCACAGCACAGAATCTGAAGCACAAGGTAAAAAGGGATTTAGAGCCAGTGGCTATAGCTACCTGTCGAATCCTCTTGCTATCCAGCCACAAGTTCTCCCATTTGCTGAAGAGCAAGGATGATGATGGTGGTAAAACTCCAGGCTCCAGCCTTGAACACCAGGTTCTTGCATCTCAAGAGACTGGCCCAGAACAGGTCTCATGCCCTTGCAAGGCCCACAGACCTGTCTTGGTCCTGGGAGGTGGGAGCTCAGGATTCAAGCCTGCCCTTGGCCACATTAATCAACCACTCCCCCAAACCACTCATTTTTCCAGCCTCTTCTCTCTGTGCTACAAAGAACAGACACCAAATCCTAAGGGTGGTAAGGAAATCCTTGCTCAATGAAGTACTGGGAGTTTCAAGGATTATTCAATACCATGGAATTCATAACTGGTAGGCTTTCCAAAGTCCACATGGGTGCATGTGGTTCTCCAAACACCAAGAAGCCTGTGAAACCATCCATTAGGAGGCCACATTGTTCACATATCTTTGACTCTTAACAAGTACAAATGTCAAAAGTTTGCAACAACTGGAAGGTGAAAGGATTGCAGGGCCATAGTCTTCTGTCTGGTTGCTGTGGCCAGGGCCACACTCAACATTAGGAGGGTTATTAACTTGGTCTGGGATTCTAACTGGACTATCTTGGGTCATCTATTGACATATGAACCAAGAGCTGTAGCCTGAGGGAAGGAACCTGTAGCTAAACTGGGCCTGTGTCACACATTCTACCCGAGTGGAAGATGGAAGGCAAAGGAAATATTGTGTACTGTTACCAGTAAAAGGGGGTAAAAAATTCTGGGAGCCCAAAACAACCAACATCCAGCACAGGCTTCTCTCCAGGGTGGACACAATCTAGCTGGGAAGATGTCCTAAAGGTTTTTTCATACTTGACACAGTCACAGGGTTTCTTTCTAGTATGGACTCTTTGATGCTGAAGCAGATTTCTTTCGCTAGTGAAAACTTTTCCACACTCATCACAGGATGTCTCCTGAATATGGATTCTTAGATGTCTTTTCAACTGAGCCTGAGTACTAAACACTTTTCCACAACATATACAGTCAAAAGGTTTCACCTCACTGTGGACTTGCTGGTGCCGAGTTAGTTTTGTACGGAAATTGAAGGCTTGCCCACATATTTTACAAGAGTAAGGCTTTTCCCCTGTGTGAATACGCTGATGCTGACTAAGATGAGAAGTCCTTCCAAAGCTTTTGCCACACTCATTACACTCATACGGTTTCTCTCCAGTGTGGATTTTCTGATGTCGCAGAAGTGGTGAATTACCAACAAAAGCTTTTCCACACTCATTACACTTATAAGGTTTCTCTCCAGTGTGAATTCTCTGGTGTATAACAAACTCAGAACTACTGGTGAAACCATTTCCACACTCCCTACAGAAATAGGGTCTGTCCCCACTGTGGATTCTCTGATGCCTAATCAGATTTGCATTATCATTAAAGGCTCTCCCACACTCTTCACACTGATAGGGTTTCTCACCAGTGTGGATTCTCTGATGTCGAATTAATGAAGAATTGCCATTAAAGGCTTTTCCACACTCATTACACTCAAAGGGTTTCTCCCCAGTGTGGATTCTCTGATGTCTAACATAATAAGAAAAATAGCTGAAGCATTTCCCACACTCTTCACATCTGAAGGGTTTCCCATCATAGTGGATTCTTAGAACCTTTCCTCTAACATTTTTCACTATGGGGATTTCCTGGTGTTGCTCCAGTTCACATGTTTCTAGGAAGCTGCTTTTGTTAAGAATGTTCTTCTGTGGTCCATGTGACATCATCATGTCTCTTTCTTCAGAAATTCCCCATGTTGGTGTTAATTCACTGTCCATGTGGGTCCTGGCATCTGACATAACAAACAGAAGACAAAAATGCCACCTGAGAATTATACCAAAAACAAAAGAACATTGAAAATTATAGTGGTTCCCCCTTATTTGCAGTCCCTCTTTCCAGTTTCAGTTTCCTTGTCAAGCACAGTCCCAAAATATTAAACGTAAAATTCCAGAAATAAATAATCCTTAAGTTTTAAATTGTGCACTGTTCTGAAGAGCATAATGAAACCTAGCATCAACCCACTCCAACCAGATGTAAATCATCCCTCTGTATATGCTACCTGTCTATTACTAAGTAGCTGATTCAGTTATCAGATAGACCTTTGTAGGATTTCAGTACTTGTGTTCAAGTAACCCTTATTTTACTTCATAATGGCTCCAACGTGCAAGAGGAGTGACACTGGCAACCTGGATAGTCTCTTGCTGCATCTAATTTATCACAGGTATGCATATATAACAAAAAAACATGATAGATACATAGTTGATTCTTTGTACCCAAGAAAGTAGACCCCACAGTTACAAAGGTCCTGGAGTCAATCCCCTGTGGATACCCAGGAATAGCTACATAGGGTTTGATACTACCTGAAGTTTCAGGCATCCACTGGGGATCTGAAAACATATGGACCATATGTTAACTATCCCTGGTGGCTCATTTGGTAACAAATTTGCCTGCAATGCAGGACACCTGGGTTCAGTCCTTGGATTGGGAAGATTCCCCTGGAGAAGGAAATGGCTACCTACTCCAGTACTCTTGCCTGGAGAATTCCACGGACAGAGGAGCCTGGTGGACTACAGTCCATGGGGTTGCAACGAGTTGGACATAACTGAGTGATTAACACTTTCACTTTCACAACAGAGATTTTAGAGATTACTAAACTCCTAACATCAGCCTGCTTTTCAGACAAGGCTAATAAAATGAAAGTGTCAAATATTCACAGGTAGAGAACAGTTGACAAGGAAATGGATTAGAGAATTAATGCATTAATTAATTAATCAGAAATATATGCAGAAGAGTTATGGTGGAAATGGTTTCATATTTGCCTATTTTGAGAAATCATCTATTTAAATCCTTCCCAGCATGGTTCATTTTAAACATACTGCTCTGTAAAGCTCTATAGTCACTGCCTCACTTACTTTTATAGATTTCTTCAGTCCCCTGTGCAGGAGGATTATCCTGTGTCTCCAGGCCCGCAAGCAAATCCCCTCTCTCTAGAAGTGAGACTAATGTAGGTTTGGGAATTGGGTATCCTGAAAAGGGTAGAAAATGGCACCTTTCAGTCCTGTGTCTGCTGTGTCAAAAGAACAAAAATCTCAAGAGTCTCAGTGAGACTAGAACAGATCCACAGAAAAGGGCTCAGGGCTGGGGAAAGCCAAGATTTTCGCTCAAGTGGAAAATGAGCATTTGTGATCTCTTCCTAAAACTAGACCCAAGAGTAAGTTCGTGATCCTGAGGGACATATACAAACAAAGGGAAGGAGTCATACCCTTCCCTAGACTAGAGGGAGACAAAAGTAAGCTGAAAACTTATCTAACAACAGACACTATTTACCCTGCAGAGGCCCTGGGAGGATGGAGCATACTCATACCAGGTGACAATTCCCTACATTGGGACCAAACTGACCCAAGACTTGTCCCTACCCAATAACCTCTCAAGTGGGTCATTTGGTCTCAGTCCCAGGACGATGGAGGATACAAGAGATGACTTCCCGCTTTCCACACCACACCCCTGGCTGATAAGGAGGAAAAAAGGAAGGAAATAGGAAAGCACAGATCTGAGAACCAGGAGAAAAGTGGCCTTACCCAGGGACATCAAGTTCCCACAGATCTCCAGCATCACACTTCTGTACAGGGCCCTCTGTGCAGGAGAAAGGCCAGCCCATTCTGTCCGGGTGAAGTAAACAGCCACATCCTCAAAGGTCACCACTGCCTAAAACAAGAGGTTCCTACTGTGCCAGAGCCAATTCTCAGGCTCCGAGTGTGGGGCACAGGGGACAGGGACAGTGAGCTGAGTGTTAAATGACTATTGGTACAACAAAAAATCTGGAACTTCTCTCACTAAAAGTTAGAGCTTTCATTTAACACAAAATTTAGTCTCATGAAACGTAACATCATGTTTTGAAAACCCTGGAAAGTCTCCCATGAATTAAAATCCCTAGAGCAAAATCTCTTTGATTTTATAAAACTTTCAATCTTTTATTATTGCACCTACAAGTAAACAGTTAGCTTTAATCTCTTCAGACACCCACTTAGAAGAGACATTGCAGGACTGACCTGCTCCCCCTTCATTGCCCCAAGTGCCCAATCAATCCATCTGTTCCCCATGCATGCTCACTCTACCCCAGACCTCAAGTTCACATGACAGGAACAGAGTTATGGTTGGCCCTGATGACTGGCCTCATCCGACCTCATCTCCTGCTTGAAGAAGGGGTTGTGCAGCCTGTGCTCAAGAATGTCCAGCAGAGAGAACTCAGTGCTGCATGGGACAGTGTATTCTGCTTCCTGATGGATTCTCCTGGAGGAATATGCTTCTGGAATCAAATTGCTGCTGGGTAGTTCTTTTAACTGCTTTTCTTCATACACCTCCAAAACAATCTGTAAATGTTTCTGTCAACTAAGTATCATGCTTTTTCAATAGCCACCCTTTCCCAACCCTGATAGCCCCACTCTACCTTGCCAGAAAGCTCAGGATCTGGCTTAGAATTTTTATTCATTCCCCAGACTTTGATATCAAACTTGGTTACCTGAATATGCAGGGAATGTCCTCCCACCTTTCAATACCTCAACTGACTCTGCAGATCTCATCAGCACTGTCACCATCTAACACCAAATGCATCCACCCGATCTGCCTCCTGCCAAACTGGCTCTATCTTCAATTTATGTAACTAACCAGCACAGAGAGTGAAAGTGTTGTTTCTCAGCACAGAAATAGTACAAATTTCATCTCAGTCTCCTAAGTTAGAAATTTGAGATTCATCCTGGACTAACTTGCCCTACTCACCACTCATTTCCAATAAGCAGTCAGTAATCAAATCCTGCCAATTTTATTTTCTAAACATTTCTGGAATCTGGTTCCTCTTCACTATCATACAATCAGTTCACTAGTACCTGCTGGGGATACTTAACTCCAGTTCTAGGCCTGTCCTGGGTTGACTCCATCCTCAGTCAGCTATGCAATCATGGACATATAACAACAAACTGACTCAGTCAACAGAATGACTTCCTTGAATGAGTCATCATGAACTACAACAATGGTTCTCAAGGTGTGGTACCCCACTGCACTAGCAGGATCACCTAGGAACTTGCCATAAAGGCAAATTCATAGGCCCCATCCAAGACCAATCTGTGCTTTCATAAGCCCTCCAGGTGATTCTTATGCACACTAAGTCCAAGAATCCTGGACTATAGGATAAAATCTGAGCTTAGGAAACCAAGTTCTATCAGGTAACACATGATAAGGGGAAAGCACAAGATTGTACAGAGAAACTGGCTAGGAAGCTCTGCAAACAAAATCTAAGAAAAGGAAGGACAAACCCTGAAGGAGGTCAATATAAAAGACGGGACAAATGGAAGGGAGAGTAGCCAGATAGAGTCAGACTCTGAAAACAGTATCAAGGGAGAACAGAGTCAACAACTACTCAGCAACCTAGAAACTGAGTGGTCAGGATTATGACAGGGTGATACCAGTAACTGACAACTTATATAAGATCAGAAGATGGGAGCAACAGGGTAGACAATGTCAGGCAGAGGGACAAGCCAGATATCAGAAATCCAGGACGGGGACTTGGGATATGGTTCATAGATGCTGAGTTACTAGATAAGTAAGTACCAGGAAGAAGGAAATAGTTAAGGAACACCCAGAAATTCATCAGTCTCAAAAAGTGAAATCAGCTCAAGAAATCAATTTCCTTATCCCATAAATGCTAAAGTATTTAATGTTCACTTCACAGATGAAGTTAAGGTGCAAAGAGGTTAAGTGACTGGCTCAAGGCCACAATGTCACAGAGGCTTTACAGGATCCCTAACTTCAGGTGTTTTGTCCTAGTGCAGATTTTTCCTGTCATAGCCCCCTGCCTTGATTAGCCAAGTCAACTTCTGAATAAATGATACAAGCTCCCTTCTTGTCTTCTTCCTGCCATCGCTCTGCCCCTACTTCCCAAGAACCTTGTGATCTCCCTGATCTTGATTACTCCCACAGTGTAATGGACACCTATAATGCCAATCTGAGTCCCTCATTCTCACAGGGCCGTCTGCAGGAGGAACCACTAAACCTGGGAACCCACTAGCTCAACAGAGATCCTCAGAGTACAGGAGACTATCCTTTTGCATCCCTGGACACTCTATGCAGCCACTGCTTGCTGGACTTCTGGCTGCTCATTCCCACGTCATCTGCTTTCCCCCAGCATCCAGTCCTACTGCAGACAGTCAACATGGGTCTTCCGACTGCTTTGGCTCTAAGGCTTCTTGCCAGAATCATCTCTGTCATCCCCCTCTTTCTTCACATCAGATCTCTCCAAGGCTGACCTGAAGGAATCACAGCTCACCTGGTGCCAGACTTTCAGGGGCATGACAGCCATTATTGGGCTCTCTCTCAATGAAGGGCAGGGGCTGAAGGAAGAAGCAAAGAGAAACAAGAGTAAGCCGATCCAGACAAGGGCTCTTTTTTTAAAACAAATCTGCCAATAACAGCAACAACCATTTATTAAATGGCACTGAGTAAATGGTATATTAATATTTCCCCACAATATGCCATGAGGTTTGAATTCTTAGGAAATTAAGATTTTGAAAGGTAAGTAACTTGACCTTGGGTACCAGAGACTGTACTCACCAACATCGTGCAACGCTGTCTGTCCTAAGACATGAGAACAGGGGAACACAAATACACAAAGAGCAAACAAGCAAGACATCAGAAAACTCAAAGCAAACCCTACAAGAAGGAACCTAGACTTTTATTTTCAAAAATAAAATTTTACTGAGAAACATAAATAGTTAAAAAAAAAAAGAAATACGTTTTTGGATGATAAATACATATCCACTCAATCACCTCAATAATTCTTTAAACCTTTTCTTTTTCCCACATAAGAAAACAGTCTAAGAGAATAATTTTCTCTATGAAAGTCACTCAGCCAGTGGATGGATGAACTTGGATCCCAAACCATACGTGCCTGATTTCCAGATGCCAAGCTTTTAATAACTACATCAAATTGCTTCCAACAGGAATCTCAACAGGATTTTTTTCTTTTAGAACTCAATAAAGTGATTCTAAGGTTGAAAAAAAAAAACAGATAAAGGTAGCCCCCCCAAATCAGAAAAATAATCTTAGAGTAAGGTTTCCTTTTCTTGATCTTGGGGCAGACATCTTTTTTGGTTCACCACCCTCTTCTAGGACCCAGTGATAACCAGAAACCAGTTAGCAAAAGACCATGAAAAGACCACTTCAACATGCCAAAATGTCTGGGTCATTACTTTAATTATATCATCCCCTACAGACACTTTGTATTCTTGTTACACACTCATAGTCTACCAAAAAGCCAGGATCTTCACAAATGAAATTCACTCCATGTGGCCATTTCCTGCTAGCCTCATCTTTGTGCCACCCTCTTTTCTTTTAGTTTAGCCACACTGGTCTTCTTTCAGCTTCTCTATTATGCTAATTCAGGACCTTTGTACCGGCTCTGCATGAACCACTCTTCTTCAACCTTTAGAACCTTTGTAACTAATAGACTGTGTGCAGTACTTTTCATTAGTCGGTCCTCTGTTCATAGGTAACTGCCAGCTCACCATAGCCTGTCTCTACAGACCAGGTCAGTCAGGGCCCCAGGTTACACACTCCACTAGCACTGTATTCTCCTTCTTGTATACCACTTCTCTCAGTTCAAGACACTGTGTTTTCTTTATCCAACATTTATCACAAACTTATTTCATTCCAGGCCAAGTGTGAGACACTGGACAAACAGTCAAGAAAGAAGGGTGTGATCCCTTCCTTCATGGGGCTTAAACTAAAAGAAACACAAATATGAATTGAAGATCCTCAGAATTAGCTTTAAGACCACAATCGTGACTAGTGACAGGGATACTTTATCCTAGATGCGGAGGCTTAAGAATAGGAATTACTTAGGTTGAAAGGAAAATCTGGTTTCCAAAGTTAACAGCATGTGCAAAAACATGGTCCCGAAGTGAAAGCCCAAAGAATCAAGGGGAATGTGCCTAAGACGAAGGTGAAGAAGTTGTAAGAGATCAAGTCCTGCAAGGCCTTGTGCACATCAAGAATAACCGCACTGGATTAACAGAGACTTTTAATTAAACTGAAAGGTCCCTGGGAGAGGGGGCAACGGCCCTCTCATTCGCAGCTGCATCTTGGGAACCTACAGCAGCAACTAGCATTTAGCGGCTCAGTTAGTAGTTGCTAGCCCAGGGAGCACGGGAGGCTGCGGCTGTGTGAGGTCAAACGGCGTCTCCTTTTCATCCACAGCCTTACACAAGGCGGCCGCTAAGGACTGGGGCGAAGGCACCGCGGCCGGGGGAGACTGGCCGGCGGGCGCGTTAGCTCCCCAGACCAGGGGGCGCCACCCGACTCCCTCCACCTGGACATGAGGGACCAAGCTGACAGCCTTCTCCAGGGTGAAACGTGTGCCCCCAGCAGGCTCGCTGAGGCGACAAGACCCAGAAACTCACCTCAGGAAAAGTGCAATGTGTGGTGTGACTGGAAGTGCGTAACTACGTCGGCCGCAGCACCCAAGTATCGCGAGCTTCCTCTCTAGGAAACCAGACCACACGTCTCTGTGGTCCCTGGCTTTCCTCCCCAGGCACGCGATTTTAACAGGCGACCTCAAATAGAAAAAGCTTATTGTTAAGCTAATCTCTAGCTGAAATCTAGAATTTCCTTCAATTTTGTGTTGGCGAGGACCACAACAGTATCAGCAGTGCCTTGTGACTTTGTCAGCAATAGGAATCCCACGTTTTCATATCACATTACAATTGCAGTTATAGGGGAACTTCGATTTCATGCACCATCGTTTTTGCCTTAGCTGACCAAAAAGTACAGTCAAACTAAGTGTTTTGTTGCAGTGTGTATATTGGTATGATTTACGTGATTGTGCCCTTGCTGTTGAAAACAGAATGGTCAGAGACAGAATGCTTTCCCTCTAACGTTGACAACAAGGCAGGTATGTCCACTCTTCCCACTATTATTCAACATCGCACTGGAGTGCTAGCTAGTGCAGAAAGGCCAGAAAAGGAAATAAAAGGCAGAGATTAGAAATAAAACTGTTAAGATTTGCAGAGGACGTTATTACCTACATTTTTTTTTTAAATCCAAAGCTACAAAACTGCTAGAACTAACAAGTGAGTTTAGTACGATCACAGAGTTAAAGGTGCAAAAAGATAAACTGTTGGAAACTGAAATGCGCAGCAATAAAATTTCCTGTAATACAATGTCAATAAAAATTTTAAAATAGTACCATTTACAACAGCACAGAAAATATGACATAGGTATAAATCTCACAAAATATGTGTAAGATACACATCATGAAAATTACAAAATAATGACAGAAGAAATGAAAGAATACCTAATAAACTGAGGGAGATAACTCTGTTCACTGATTGAAAAACCCAATACTAAGATGTCAATTATCCCCAAATTGCTCTATATATTTAAAGCAATCCAATCAAAATCCCAACAAGACCCTTTATAGAAAACGAGCTGATTCAATTTAATTGTATGTCAATCATTTGATAGACCTGAAAAAAAGCAGTGGAGAAAGGAGGGGTTTCTTAGTAAATTATGCTGAAACATTTGGATGTCACAACAGGAAAAGAAAATAATATTCTTACTTCACACCATACTAAAATAAATTCTAACAAGGGTGTCCACTCTCACCACTATTATTCAACATAGTTCTGGAAATCCTAGCTACAGCAATCAGAGAAGAAAAAGAAATAAAAGGAATCCAGATGAGAAAAGAAAAAGTAAAGCTCTCACTGTTTGCAGATGACATGATATTGTACATAGAAAACCCTAAAGATAGTATCAGAAAATTACTAGAGCTAATCAGTGAATTTAGCAAAGTTGCAGGATACAAAATCAATACACAAAAATCACTTGCATTTCTGTATCTAACAATGAAAAATCAGAAAGAGAAATTAAGGAATCAATCCCATTCACCATTGCAACAAAAAGAATTAAATATCTAGGAATAAACTTACCTAAGGAGACAAAAGAACTGTACACAGAAAATTATAAGACACTAATGAAAGAAACCACCATTGCAACAAAAAGAATTAAATATCTAGGAATAAACTTACCTAAGGAGACAAAAGAACTGTACACAGAAAATTATAAGACACTGATGAAAGAAATCAAAGATGACCTAAACAGATGGAGAGATATTCCATGATCCTGGGTAGGAAGAAGCAATATTGTGAAAATGACTATACTACCAAATGCAATCTACAGATTCAATGTGATCCCTATCAAATTACCAAAGGCATTTTTTCACAGAACTAGAATAAAATATTTCATAATTAATATGGAACACAAAAGACCCCAAATAGCCAAAGCAGTCTTGAGAAAGAAGAATGGAGCTGGAGGAATCAACCTTCCTGACCTCAGATTATACTACAAAGCTAGTCATCAAGACAGTATGGTGCTGGCACAAAAACAGAAATATAGACCAATGGAACAAGATAGAAAGCCCAGAAATAAACCCATGCACCTATGGGCACCTTATTTTTAACAAAGGAGGCAAGAATATATAATGGGGTAAAGACAGCCTCTTCAATAAATGGTGCTGGGAAAACTGGACAGACACATGTAAACGAATAAAAATTAGAACACTTCCTAACACCATACACAAAGTGAAGTGAAGTCACTCAGTCATGTCCGACTCTTTGTGACCCATGGACTGTAGCCTACCAGGCTCCTCTGTCCATGGAATTTTCCAGGCAAGAGTACTGGAGTGTGTTGCCATTTCCTTCTCCAGGGGATCTTCCCAACCCAGGGATTGAACCCAGGTCTCCCACATTGCAAGCAGACGCTTTACCATCTGAGCCACCAGGGAACCCCACACCATACACAAAGATAAACTCCAAATGGATTAAAGACCTAAATGTAAGACCAGAAACTATAGAACTCTTAGAAGAACACTAATAGGCAGAACACTCGATGACATAAACCAAAGCAAGATCCTCTATGACCCACCTCCTACAGTAACCAAAATAGAAACAAAAGTAAACAAGTGGGACCTGATTACACTTAAAAGCTTTTGCACAGCAAAGGAAACTATAAGCAAGGTGAAAAGACAACCTTCAGAATGGGAGAAAATAACAGTAAATAAAGCAACTTTGTCAAAACTGACAAAGGATTAATTTCCAAAATATACAAGCAGCTCATACAATTCAATGCCAGAAAAACAAACAACCCAATCAAAAAGTGGGAAAAAGACCTAAACAGACATTTCTCCAAAGAAGACATACAGATGGCTAACAAACACATGAAAAGATGCTCAACATCACTCATTATTAGAGAAACGCAAATCAAAACCACAATGAGATATCACCTCACACCAGTCAGAATGGCCATGATCAAACAGTCTACAAACAATAAATGCTGGAGAGGCTGTGGAGAAAATGAAATGCTCTTGCACTGTTGGTGGGAATGTAAATTGTACAGCCACTACCGAAGACGGTATGGAGATTCCTTAAAAAACTAGGAATAAAACTACCAAATGACCTAGCAATCCCACTCCTAGGCATATACCTTGAGGAAACCAAAATTGAAAAAGACACATGTATCCCATTGTTCATTGCAGCACCTATTTACAATAGCTAGAACATGGAAGCAACCTAGATGTCCATCGACAGATGAATGGATAAAGAAGTTGTGGTACATATACACAATGGTATAGTAACCAGCCACAAAAAGGAATGCATTTGAGTCAGTTCTGATGAGATGGGTGAACCTAGAACCTATTTTACAGAGTGAAGTGAGTCAGAAAGAGAAAGAGAATTATCATATGCTAATGCATATATATGGAATCTAGGAAAATGGTACTGAAGAATTTATTTACAGGGAAGCAGTGGAGAAACAGATATAGAGAATAGACTTATGTTCATGGGAAAAGGGAAGGAGAGGGTGAGATGTATGGAAAGAGTAACATGGAAACTTACATTACCATATGTAAAATAGACAGCCAACAGGAATTTGCTGTATGGCTCGGGAACTCAAACAGGGGCTCTGTATTGACCTAAAGGGGTGGGATGGGGCAGGATATGGGGAAGGAGTTTCAAAAGGGAGGGAATATATATATATATATAAACTTGTGGCTGATTCATGTTGAGGTTTGACAGAAAACAAAATTCTGTTAAACAATTATCCTTCAATAAAAAATTAAAAAATAAATTCTAGTTGGGAGAAAAATCTGACTGTGACAAATCTACATCTTTAATGAGAAAGTAATGGCAGAACTTCCCTGGTGGTACAAAGGATAAGAATCTACCTGCCAATGCAGGCACAGGGGTTCAGTCCCTGGTCTGGGAAGATTCCACATGTGGAGGGGCAACTAAGCCGGTGCGTCACAGCTACTGAAGCCCGAGCACCCTAGAGTCTGTACTCTGCCACGAGGAGCCACTGTAATGAGAAGCTCACACACAAAGTGTAGGCCCCTCTCAACACAACTAAAGAAAGCCGGCACGCAACAAAAGACCCAGCACAGCCAAGACAAAATAAATAACTTTTTTAAAAAAGAAAGTATGGGCAATATGATTTATACAATGTGCTTTATTTTGTCTGTCGCTGCATGTGAGGTCTAAACCACATAATGGATACCTCAACACAGGGCTGCTCAAGCTACACTCCAGCACTCCCCCAGATTGACATGTGCATTCAGAGGCATCTCACATGGCCTCCCTGTACATGCTTGTACCCACTTCCTGCCTACTGTGCCATAATACCCAGTGGGACTGATAACCTCTTCACAGTCTGGGTTGTTTTCTATGACTGCCCCTCCTGCCCTTCTGCAAGCCAAGGAGAGAAGCTTCAGGAGAAATCAAACCTGATAACACCTTGATTTTGAACTTCCAGCCTGCAGAACTGTGAGAAGATAAATTTCTGTTATGTAAGCCTCAGTCTGTGCTGTTTTGTTATGGCAGCACATACAAACTACTTTAGACATGTGAAGTTAAGACATATTGGTAGTGTCAGAGGCTGCTGGTTGCCTACCAAGAACATCCATTCATCCGTCTTGTTTAGTAACAGAAAACTTAATTAGGGATTGGCACCTTGCCTCTCAGCCAAGGACATTTCTTGCCACTCTTGTAAGTCTGTGGGTCTCTCAGGACCAAGGTCTACACAATGAAGTGGAAGTGTTTTCAGTACTCATAGAATATTCCCTCGAAAGGAAGGTGACATGATCTTCTTCCTTCCCTCCATCCCACATCCGGGAATGGCGAGAGCTCCAGTTGCTTCAGACCATGAGGATATGGCCACATCTGAGGGATGGCAGTATGGTGAACCTGAAGGAACCAGAATTCCCGCTGACGGTGTGCAGATGCCTATCTCCATATCTCTATTTTTAAAAGGAAAAAAATCAACTCCAGTCTTATTTTAAGCTCTATTATTTTGGATTTTCAGTTATATGCATGTGAACCTAACCAAGTCTGATCCAAAGACAGTAAATCAGTTGGAGAGGGCCTCCAGCAGTGGTACCTAGGTCACATATCATGGATAATCTGCTAGATGCTCAAGTTCCAGGAAGATGGAGCTACTCCAGCGCCTCAGAGATGAAAGGCACCTCAGGGGTCCAGCTCTCTGGCTCAGGCACTTATTATGAAGGCACTATTTTCGAATAGTTGTAGTAACAAAAATGCCAGTGCCACACTGCTACTAATCTTTAATCGGGAATCTAGGAACTGGGTCCACTGCCTCCTAGAGCTGTATTTTCTTCCACATGCACCTGGTCTTCTTGGAGCCTACCCTGTGAGGTGATGATCCTCCTATCTCCTCACAAGGTCTCCTATGGTTTTGGCATCACCACATGGCTAACTCAGATGTCCTAGCGACTGTAAAGAAATAATGTTGCCTGCCATTTCAGTTCTACAAGGATCAAGACACTAGCCACTGCAGTCTCCTACCCATAATGTGCCCGAAGGGCAATTTAGGGTGGAGAAAAATAGGAACCGTTCTGTGCTTTGGGTACAACCCCTGGTTACATAGATACATATGCAAGGAAAATTTTCAGTGAACCCAAATTCTTGAATCTTTCCATACAGAAAAAAGCATTAAAATTATTAACTTGAGGTGCCTGTACTTTGTGTTTAGCAGTAATCTTTTAATGTTTGATATGGTTTTTTTGTTATTGTTGTCCCCAACCCCCAGCAGAAGTTTATATATATATATAAACTATATACTATATATATATATATATAT